CGGCGCCCGGCGCGGGCAGGCCCGCCCTGCCGAGCGTCCCCTGGGCCGCTGCCCCCGCCGGCCGAGTTAACTTTTGAGACCACGCAGTCTGCTCTAGCCTCGCCACACCGGTGAGTAAGTGGTGTTCACTATCTTATTTATTCTTTTATTATTGTTATTATTATTATTATTTTTCTTGGGTGTAAGTCACCTTGACGCTTCAGAGCTTTCTCGGTTGGGAACTGCGTTTTGGGAAAGCTCTGCAGACATCAGGCACCTCGAGGCCTTGCCTTCTGCTCAGTGACACTTGCAGGTGTGCTGTAAACTGTGTCTCACTCGAGATGAGAGTGCTTGCGAGCTAAGAATAACTGTTTACGAACTTAAAAAGGAGTAGCTGGGCGGGTGTTCACAGAGCTGGAGCATGGGTCTTGAGCTGAATAAACAAGGCTGGACCACAGTCGTTATCGATGGGGAAACCTAGGAAATGTGGGTCACTCAAACACTGAGCTCGAGTACTTCAAAATCGCAAAACAGTGACTCGTTTTTCTTATTCAGCCACTTGAATACATATGAAGAGACACTGAAACTAGCAGCACTAGGAGTTCAAATATTTAACATACAGCTTCTCATTTTTAAATTGGTGACCCATAAAATCAGTTCTCTGCTATTACACATGGCTGCCATTTCAGAATACCTGTATCATCTTTGTCCCCACCTGATGTTGTTTTGGCATCTAAATTGGGCCTCTTGGTTGCATAGAGTTTTAGCTTCTATCCCGAAAGCCTTTGTTTTGCAAAAGGACTATTTTCTGCAGAAGGTGCTTCTGCACAGAGTAAAGACCTAAAAAACTCAACTTCTATTCATGTCCAAAGGGGTAGCTAGCAGCCACTTACGTGTCTATAAAATAGCTTTTGAGTCACTTTGCAGACAATGCAGAAGGTACTGGCATAAATGAAAAGGAAGATCATTAGATGTTTGCTTTTAGGGAGAAACTAATGCATCGATTTTGTTCCCCCAAACGTTAGTATTGTAATACTGAGAATGAAGTTATTTACAAACCTCCAATATAAGTGGTTTTCAATAAAAACCAGTATGTTATCAATGCTCAGATAGTACATCATCAATAACCTGGAAATTTATTTCACAGAAGTAAATAGAAACTAAAATCATATATTCTCACTGTGTTTTTAGCTGAGCAATACATACGTTTTAAAGAGCTGTTACTACTATTTATTATTTTAATTCAGTAGTTCCATGTTGCTGGTAATATACATACCAGTAATACAGCATACTTTAAGCTTTGTGGTAGATCTTTTCTGTGCAGAAAAAAATAAATATATATATAATATTATATAATAAATATATTATTTTTATATATATGTATTTATAAAATTCTGAGATTCTTAGAGCAATCAGTAATAATCTTGCATTTTTAGTGTATGCCTTTCTAACTACCGAACTTATCTTTGGCTCTTAAGATGTTGTACAATCATGTATATTTTCTGATTTATAGGTAAAAACTTTGAATTTGTCGTTTGATGTGACTTAGCAATAGCATTCCAGAATTTTTAGAACAATGTAGCTGTTGTCTTTACCAATCTCCTGAAGTTATAACATAGGATTTGGGGCTTTTTTCTCTTATAATAGAAGGGGGTATAAATAGGACTACTAACAGAAAAAGACTGTGGTGGAAGTTTCCGTGCTGTCAGATAGAAACTAAATTTCACAAAGAAGATTGTCATTGCTCTTGAAAACTAGTTTTACATTGGTATAATAAAGGTTATATATAAGCTACTTCAGTTAACGTAGCTACTGCTTACTGCTGTGTCACTTGTAAAATACAGTGCAGATGTTCAGAATGCTGTATATGTTTCTTTTCATAAAATCTGAATTTTTCAAATTAGACTTTTAAAATTATTGGAATCTGATGAAAGAGGGACTGTTTTTTCCCTCAAGAATTTAACCTGTTGCCTGTACAGTGATGTTAAAAAGGATACTTAGTTTTATGTATTTACTAGGATTTGTCCAGTCAGATGACCAAGTCCATCATTTGAGACCTGTGGGGAATTTAGTGTTAGTATAACTTCAAATTTAAAAAAAAACCAACTCCTTGCTTTTTGTTTGTATTTGAGTAGGTTTTTTTTTGTCTCACACTGCTCCTACTTTGATCCTACACTGAAATCTAGTGTTCAGAGGAAGAAGACCTGTTTGGATTTTTGTTCATCAATCTGGGACTGACAAATACAGTATTTCTCTGAACAAAGTGTTACAAGTTTTAGAGATTATTATTGCAGTAGTATTGCAGGTGGCTTTATATATAAATGGAAAATGACTTATTTTTCCTAATGTCAGTCTAATAAAATGTTGATTGTTAAATCAATACTAAAAGATGATGCTTTTTTTCCAGTTGCCATAAAGAACTTCAACACTAACAATTTCATGCATTGAAATTTTCAACACTGAGAAGACGACTGTATTAAATTCTCATGTTTCCCTAGAAGGTTTTTTTGTTTTGTTTTTTTAAGTGTTGCTTGCAAATGATTCTTAAGATACTCTTTGTATGTGTACAGGCATTTGGGGATTGTCATTTTCATTATGAAGTGGCTTAGTTTATAAGGAAAATGATACTTATGTGATTCCTTACATTCATCTCTTTTTGCCTTGTTTTCCCTCCCTCTTCTAACTGTGGTTCTGTTGGATAGTTTGTTACCTTTGGTAAAGGGATAGAGGTCTTAAAGATATGAAAAATTTCTATATATTTTGTGAAAATGGGAAACTGGATGAATGAAGAAGGTTGATAGTAATTCCATCACTGACATGCTGTGAGAGCTCAACAGTGACTCAGTTTCCTGGGTTATTTGCTGGTCATTAAGGACATGTGAAGCTTACCTAGGCACAGTAGTGCTGCCCCGCCTTGTCCGTCATGTAAGGGATACATGAGGGAGCTGTGGCGAGTGTACTCTGTAGGAGGATAAAGGCATGTTACAAGTTGCAGAAAACTAAAAGGTATTCTGGGCTAGAAAGAAGAGTCATGTTGTATAGGATACATGGCAGGTAGGCAAATTACTGAGGTAAGAGAATGCGTGAACATAAGGAAAACACCTTGACACTAGAAAGCCAAGCTTCACTAGTTGCCGTTAGTATCCGTGTAACTGTTGACCAAATGCGATGGCTCCCTTTCCTTATAAAATGAGGGTGCTTTTTGGGTGCATCTTAACGCCTGTGTATTTATACTGGGATAAAGCTGTTTCTTAGAAGAAAGAAAAATCTAGACTCAGTGCAAACATTGTAAGATTCTAATTTGTGTGTGGAAAGAGTTTCTCCGCTTTTATAGTAGTGGAGTTCTCACAGTACACCTTCTGTATGTAGATCTAGTTTTCAACTCCTCTCAGGTGAAAGAAGTTTTTTAAGGAGCTCTCAAGTGTGTTGAGAGGAAAGTATAGTACCTGAGCCATCAGCACAGATTGTGCAATTAATAGATTTTGAAATGACAATGTAGTATATACCCAGATTGCCAGTGTTGAAAACTGTTCAATTATATAGCATCCTTAATAGCTTCAACTACTAATTATACTACAGAAATTACTTTCTATTCACATTGTGTATGATCAAATGGACGAAAAAATCACCGGGGAATAATCTTTCTTCTGTAATTCTAAGATTTGCTTTTAGAGGACCAGGACTTTAAAATCAAAAGATAATTTTTCTAATGTCAGGCGTGTCTTTCTTAGTAATTTCTTTGTGTGATTTATGCTTTCATGTTTCATAATTTAAAAACTAGGCATTTTTGTTCTTTTGTAGTAGGTGTTTCTACTTAAAATTGTGGATAAAGACACCTCAGGCCTTCTGTAAGGTGGAGAGTGGTATCTTAGATCGGTAATTTACTCTGTCTTTATTTATGTTTGTTTTTTTTAACAAGAGCTAAATGCTGCCAAAATTCATAAACTTATTTGATATGCAGCCTTTTATTTAGAAGTGAGGTGTTCCTAAACCAGTTTCTAAACTATACCTGATCTGTTATGCACTGTAGTAGAACATGCACAGAATTTTCAGATAAAAACGCCTTTTTGTGCCAGTTGAAGTGGCAAAACTGCTTTAAGCAGTTTGCTGTAACAGTCATTTATAAATTATTGATGTGTTTTTTGACTCTGTTCTTTCAGAGGCTTTCAAAAAAACAGGTCAACAGTTGGCTAAAGTTTCCCATAAGTGTAGTCTATCGTTGTTAGTATGACTCACTAATCCAAAATCATTTTCCTTTGAGATGGAAAAACTACAGTGCTTTATGGAACGGTTCCTACTTTTTCAAGAAAAGAGTGACTCAGAAGTAGAACATTATATGCTCTAGTTCTCAGAAGTGTTAGGATGTCAATCTTTTCTATTTATGTTTAAAAAAAAAAAACCAACTCCTTATGGTTTTTTTCCCAACTGCCTTTCTGTCTCTTGCCCCAACAATCCAAATTACTTGTGTTCATTTGTCAGCTTCTTTTTCTCCTACTTGACATTCTCTGTCGTAGTATGTGAAACTGCGCTTTCAGTTTTATCAGAAAGCTGTTTTGGACAGTATGTCCCTTGCTTAAAGGATTCTGTTCATAAATTCATTATTAAAATTGCCTTACGAGATAATCATAGAACATCTAGATGTTAATTTGGTAACAGTAACTTCTCAAAGTTGCGTTCTTCAACAAAAGTATGGACTGGATAAGTAATATTTATATCTTGTGATATAGTAATTATTAGAAGGAGAATCAACAGTTAGTATCACAGAGGCTATTTAGTTTGTGGATGGCACATCATCATGCTGTGTTTCTATTCACTGAGTTGCTGGGAAATAACATAGTAATTCAGCATCATGTAAACGGTAGGGTGTGATAATTTTAAGAGAGGAAATTATACAGGGAAATGTAGTTATGGTTCACAACAAAACAGGATTCTGGAAAAGAGCACCAGAAAGCCTCTGAGATTTTCCAGTACCTGGACCTTTGCTTAAACAGTATGTAATTAACCGCTAATGTTGCAAGCTCGTTGCTGAAACAGTTGAGGTTATTTTCTCTGATATCGGCATACCTGATAAATATCAAGAAATAGAAACGAAGAAGTGCCATCTTAGATGCTTTGTGGTTTCCAAAAAAATGACGTTTTCATAAAAAACATAAAACAAAAAGAACATGTAGGAAGAAGTTTGCTGCTCCTCACCACTTTATCTTGGTCACTGTGTGAAAGGTTTGTAAATACAGATACCTGCATTTTTATATAAAGACGGATTAGTGTGAGTAAAGCTTTTCATTGTCCATATTCAGTCAGATTCCTAAAGGGTACTGTTGTATTCAGACACTTGGAAGAACCAATTTGCTTATTATTGTTCACTCTTTGCTTAAACACTGATTTCCTAACGAGTTTTAAAAATACAAATGTGGTATGTAGGATCTTGGCTTGGAAACATATTTTTTAGATAATAGAAATAATCCGTTTTTCTGTTAGTTTTGTATCTGTGTACAAAGTACTTCAAACATTTGATTTTACATGTATTGTACTTGGATCATTCTGTTTTTTCCGCTGATGAGAATTGACCTCAAAGATAGGGAGAAGAAACAAGAAACGTACTGCTTGTTAGTTATAGTAGGTACAGAGTCCACCGGTGCTATTACCGGAGGCACCTTTAATGCATGTGATGTTTTCTGTTCATTTCAGGTCCTGTGCAGAGTCCGATGCAGTTCCCCTCTGGCTATGGCTTACATCCTCCAGACTATAGCGTGCCCTCAGGACACTCTTCACAAGTGCCCGATAAAGCTGTCTCTCCATATTTGAATAATCAGTATAGAGCCAGTTACCACTCTACTTACTATTCAGCACCAGCACAAAATGTTCTGGTACCTTCTGTGGGTACCAACATGTTGAATGCACAGGAATCACAGCAATTACACAACACAACTTCTCCCCAGACAGCAAGGTCAACAGAAGGACTTACTCACGGAGCAATATCATCTGCATCCTACTTGCATACCAGTGCTCTACAGTCATATTCAGCATTTGGTGATCACTACAGCACTTCTGTCAGCTCTTCAGTTGCACCTCAGGGATTTCCCCTTAATTCTGATCATTACACCATGCCTGCGGTTTCTAGCGCTATGTATCCTAATGTTTCCTATTCTTCTGCGGCTACTGACAGTGTATATGGGCAAATACATACCTCTCGGAGCCTACCTGATGTTGGACAGTTTAAACAGACAAATACATTTTCTAGCCAGAGTACAGCAGTACCTCCTTCACTTCAACAACATGTTCCCATGGGATATAATTCAGTGTTGCTGACTAGTTCATCTGCTCAGTCCGTTCAAGACAGCCTCAGTAGAAGTCTCACTGGATCGCTGGCTAAAGCAAACAACCAAATAAATACAGGTACAGTATAGTAAACTTCTGGATGTCTCTTGGAAACTTCAGAAATCACATGCTCCTGTTGCTTTATATTTATTCACTATATGAATTACTGCATCATAATTTTGACTTCTGTACTTATTCATCCTTAAAGCTTTTCTCATTTGTTTACCACAGACCTTATGGTAGCAGCTATTCATATCATTGATGGATATTTATTTCTTTTGAGAGATGCAGAAAAAGACTCTATTTGGGGGATGGTTTTAGTCTCCTTTGGAGTAGTTATAGTTTTACATAAATGGATTCAAAAGGGGAAATTTTCGTACAATTTTGAAGGGGTTTCTAATTTCTGAAATAATCTATTGATCACTGAAATTTTTTTTTTCTCTGGCTAGAGAATTATTTGAAGTCATGGTCTAAGTTGGTTCTTTAAATTTTATTTAAACAGGCATGCACTCTTCAAAAATTTAGGCTTCCACTTTTTTTGAAACTTTGGGCAATTGGGGCTTTTAGAAATCATTTTCAACTACTCTCTGAATGAGACAGGTATTTACATGCTTTTAACTGATTTTGTAAGCAATAACATGACGTTTTCAGTAGGGATATAGCAGTAGAGAATGAGGTGGTGGGAGGGGAATTTGTGGGCAAATATACTCGGCGCTTGCCAGTAGCTGCAACTTCTGCTTCATGGGAAAACTGGCTACAAGTCCATGGGGTAGGCAGTACTTTGTGGGAGGAACAGAAGTTAAGAGATGTGGGAGTGCTTCCGTGTTGAGACATCTTACTCTCTGCTATGAGGCAGTGGTCTCCAAGTAGTTTATGCAAAAAAAAAAATTCCAGTTGTGATACAGAAGAAAACTACTTTCCAGTTCCTTATGTCTATCTGTACTGGTAACGTTTCTGATTTCCTGCATTTTTGGCTTATGAACTGATAGACTAATAGTTTTCCTTTTGTGATGAGACAGATAATAGAGAACTGGCTCTGAGATAGCAAACCCCATGCCTTGTTGCATGGTGTACTGGATTGTGGAACTGATTTTTCTGGAAAGTAATTCTTTCTTTTTTTTTTCCAGCTGGATCAGTTTCCTGGCTTAAGTTCAGCGCACGAATGCTTCAGTATTTACTCACTGGGAGAGAGCAGATGAAGGCAGCAACCGTTAGCTAGGCTAAAGGGAGAGCAGGGTTATCTTATTGGCCGCTGTGGATTTGGTGGGCTCGAAGTATTGATCAAATAGCCTTAGTGCAACTTCACAGTAGTTTAAAACACTCAAGCCTGGACTGCCATGGTCCCACCGTTTCTCGAGTATTGGTGCAAGTACTTACTTGACTGCATTATGATATAGCTTAAGCAACTGATAGGTTGTATTGCCATATCTTAAACAATTAGATGTGAATTAATGAATTCCATTTGCACAAATAGGATTAGTAGTAAATGGCTCCCTCTTTAGTTAATACTAAAGAATGACATTCTTTATGAAGTTTGGGGCTAAACAGACTGCCTCCAATAATACCTGAATTTTAACATCGTTTGGCTAAAATATATCAAAAATTCAGTTGCTGCAGCACCTGGCTAACAAAAAAAAATATGCCAATAGCTCTTTGATACTGGAATAACTGAGTTGCTTTTTGGGGCACTGGCATACTTTGAGTCTCCCAGTGCAGTCTTAGTGTTTTCAGATGGAATAACTTTATATATAGTGTTTTTATTATTTTCAGTCCTGTTTTTAAAGAAAAAAAAAAAGGGAGGGGGAGGTGGATCTCAAAAATGATTTGCCATTTTTTGTACATCTCTGGAAAGCTTTTGAATACAACTCATGCAGAATTTCAGGAGATGATGAATGATTCATAAGGAGGAATTTTTCAGAATATTTCTTCCTCCCCACTGTACCCTGTGAAGGAAACAGTGCCTGTAGAAAGCAGTTACAATCTGTTCTGTGGATAGTTTTCAGCAAAACTTCTTGAAAAACTTTTAAGGTATACTGAAATTCCAAAATGCGCTTTCCAAGACTGTTCATGTGAAGATATTTTGAAATAATATTATACTACTAGACTAGGAGTACCAGTAAGACAGTTTATTGTCACTGCTGTTGTGCCCTGAAAGAGAAAGATCCTTATTCCCTTTTAAATTATAAATAAGCCAATCTTAGAAAGATTGGGTACTGAAAGATTAAGACAGGATATGGTCTTAATACATTTTTCAATAGCAGTGTTAGGTGCAGTTAGTGGACACTGTGAACTTTATATATGTTGAAAAGAGACCATTCTGTGTATAGAATCCTGTCATGTTTTTTAATAAAACTTGTAAAAACAGTGTTTTAGAAAGGCAGGCGTGACTCTTTCAGAAGCATGGTGACATCTGAATTATTTACCAGTTGGATCGAAAAACTTCTAAACGCTAGATTTCTAATGGCTTCTTTTTCCAATAAACCAATGAAATTGTAAGCGTAAGGTGTTGGTTAGCCCTAATGTTACTGAAGTCTATTAAAATCAGACCACTAGGCTGCTGTATGTCATGTACAAAGGACTTGGAACCAGGTTTTGTTGCAGCTTCAAAACTTTTGGCAGCCACTGTCTGAAATCATTAAAATATTTTCAATGAAGCTTGCTGAAATTTCATTAGAAGAAGGGAGGAAATTTATTTCAAGAAGAATGTTTTGTTGGAAGTGACTTCTTTTGATGTTTACCAACCAGTGAGAATCGTTTCCTTTATTTGCACTTGGAAGTATAAATAAAGTAGAATATGAATGTATAATTTGGGGTTTTCTGCTTGCTAGTTTAAACTAGTTTGATCTGGCAAAAAATGCCCTTTTCTGGTATTGATTTCTGTATTTCAGCAAAACAGTTTGTGCTGCGCTACAACAGTTTACTATACTATGTAAATATCACACAAACTACTGTGTTTACTTAGGCTTTTTATGTCAGTACTCTTATTTAATGTTTTTTCATGCTTCATCTTGATGCTCTCCAGCAGTGTGGATCCATGTGTTTTGTCAGCCAGGATGCTCAAATTTTACTCTAATCTTTTCTATCTTTGTTTTTTGCTGAGGAGAAAGAGAACTACTGAGGCTAAGAGGATGGGTTTCTTTGCTTCCTGGGTCTCGATTACGGTGCTCTAGTTGTAGGCAGTCTGCTTGAGCAGTAGACACTTTAATTTCTTTATCCCACGCACGTACTTCCCCTTATGTCAGATCAGGATCTAAAGTCCTTGCTGCCCCAGTTCTATAGGAATGTAGGCTATAATCCTGTAAATCGGCTAAGGTAGGTGTGGTTGGAGTAAGGGGAGAGGTCAGCAGCTGAGACAGAGTCATGGAGATAGGAGGCTGTTATTGCAATGAAGAATCTCACAGTAGAAATTGTGCTGTGCTGAAAAAAAAAATCAAGACAGCAGCTGTGTTACGTGAAAAGAGACAGTATTTGCATCTCTTCTGTAAGCTTGAGACGATGCCGCTGTGTTGATGTGCCTTTTGGTTTTCATTTCTTAACGACTTTCCAAAACTTTCCTAAGTCACCAAATAAGGTTTAGTGTGTAATTTTGCTGGCTGAATTTCTATACACGGACAGAATAATATTTTTTGCTCACAGTTCATAAAGGTTCTTGTTTGTTTTTAACAATACATGTGAAGGATCACCATCATTTTGAAGGATACTTTGGATAACTTGCTTGAGAACAAGAATCTAGTACTTTGCAGGAAAGTAATTAATCTTCAGCTAATCCAAATGTAAATTGGTTTCAACTTTGAACATGTGACAGTGCAATATCGTAGCATTTAGCATGCTCTAAGACCAGTGCTCGATGTTACGGTGTTTTGCAAGCGTTGCTGTATTGACTTCAGATGTGGAAAACAGCATAAACAACTCTCTCTGCTACAGTACCCTTGTAAACACGCTAATGTTATGGGGAAAAAAACTTCCCTTGTCATCTCATAGCTTGCTTGAGGAAGCTGTGTGCCTAAATTAGGAAGAAAGTTTCTGCTGATCGGCGCTGGTGCTTCCATGGAGAGGTTACAAGGGCATTAATTTATAGCAGCATAGATTATAGCAAGCAAATTTCAGCAAAGAATGCTGTGTATATATACTTTGGAGAAGTATGTATTTTAATCTAGATTTAGATAATAAATTCTTACAAAAGCGGTATGCATGCTTAACAGTAGATTTGAATATCAAATGCATAACAGCTGGAAGTGCCATTAAGAGGGTGAAAAATGTGCCTTGTTGACTTCCAAGGTAAATTAGAACAACAGGATTGTTTTAAACCTCCTCCCCACCCTCTAAAAGAGACCTCAGCTTTCCCATAAAGTCCTCTCAAATATCAGCTGTAGTATTTAAGAAAAAGGCTGGGAGTGTACTAACTGCACTGTGTTATTTATCTATACACACAGAGATGCATATGCGTGTGTGTGTGGAGGAGGTAAAGTTAAAATTGCATGTGCATCCTCAAGTGAATTCTGTTACTTAAATTCTCTAAATGCAAACATCTAGATGTTGTTTTTGCTTAATTTCTGAATAGTGCTGGTCAAATCAATTCTTTTTTATTGTTGTATTTGTTTTAATAGTTTAGTCTATCAGCAGTTTTTTTTAAAGGAGTCATAATAAACAAAGGTGACTTTTAAAAACTAAATTGAAGTTATGTTGCCTTTTGACAGGAATTTCAAGTGGACTGCATTAAATCTCTCAAAGCACTAATTATACTTTTTTAAAGCAAATTATATCTAGTCTAGATGTTCAAAATGCTTCAGAAGTTCTTTAGAATGCTCAGGGTTGCTTGAAGCAGGTTGCTTGGGATATGAGTCTGAGAACTGAGGAGTAACAAATTGCAAAATGTCAAGTGTGTGAAGGAGGCAGAATACTGGTCAGCTACACAGCTGACTTGCAGGTTTCCTGCTTGTGGGAGGCATGCTGATAGGAAAATATCCCACATTGACTGTGTCCCTCTTATCTGGGAAGAGGAGGCTGTGAAAGTACAAAAAACCTGATAAAATTAACTTCTGCTTAGTCTTAATCTTACTACATCGTGCTTTCCATAGCATAAAAGGTTCGTGGATTTTTTTTTCTGTTAGTTGCCAGAGCAATCTATTCATTTTAATGGAATTTTAGCATTACAGAAATTTTATTTTAAAAATCCCATATATATTTGTTCGAAGATATCGCTTTGAAGTACTGTATTGTTTTTGTAGGTATTATGAGATCAAACATAACTGCTTGCGTTGTGGAATTGTCTGTGCAAATACAGATGAAGTGATCCTACCTTCTGATTTTGTTTTCAGGTGGCATTGATTCTGTACAGCCGGTGCGGTCTGTAAGCCAGAATGCTCAGTTTACCAAGCCTGGGGATGGAACAGCTACTTCCTCGATCTCATCTGTGAGGACACCTGTTCCAGGCCTTTCTCCAGAGCCAGGGTCTATGCCCTCGGTTACGCAGGCACCAGAGCCAGCCCTTCAGGAAGGTACTATAAGGGAATGGGGAAGTTAAAATGCAGACTTCTGCCCTGTTCCACATGCACATGCGTATACTGGAGGCTTTATAGCACTTCTTCTGCACTTGTCTGATTGAAGTACATCTTTTTTATCTTGTCAGGCTGCCTTAGTGTTCTTGTTTTGTACATCATCAGTTCTCTTCTGTCGTAGCTCTTCTATATGGGTTCCTTTGGCCGTACGTCTTTGGCCTGTCTGTCGTGTTGACCCTCTCATATCATCCCCTAAGAAGCCCTTCTTTTAGTTCCCTTATTTTTGAGAGGGTTGTTTGTTATTTTACCTTAAAAGAAGGTCTTGAAATCAGTCTGTATTGTAAAATCAGACGTGAACTAGCAATTTGGTAGTGCCAGCACTTAGTAACAGAACTATCTTGAGTATTTAGTTCCAACTGATGGAATTGTTTTCTTAATCTATAGTTCTAAGCTCCTGTGGAAAGCTGCTGTAGTTTCCTCCTACTTTCCTCTTGTAGGAAGGAAGAGGAACTCTAACAAAAACTTCTTGCTGTTCTAATGTTGGTAGCATGTTGACAAAGAATCAGTTGAGTCTTGAGCCTTCTTCATCCATGCTAGTTCTGCTCTGATACGTTATGACTTCCCTCTTAGTCTGTTAAATGTTACTCTATTTAGTATTTCTGATCGCATTTGTTGCTTTGATTTTTGCTGTTTTTTCTCTCGGAAATTTCAGAATTTTAAGTTCTTAAGAAAAATAGTTCTGTGTTTGAGATGCAAGTAGGCATTATTTGTTTCTAGAACAATAAAATACCTCTAGTATGTGAAGTATTTCTCAAAAGCACAGCGTTTGACTGTCACAGCATCATTTTTATCCTTAAATTTCAAAATCCTCTGATGTAAATGTCAATTCTTTTTTCTCCCAATTCTCCCTTTTTATTTTTCAGTGGGATGGGGAATGTAAAGAAATAACTTGCCTGTGAATCAGGCCTGTATTTCTTTAAAGACAAAGGTTCATTGCTAACAAGTCCTATGCATAGTGAAACTATAAGATTGTTTTAAGGGAAAAAGATAATCGAACAGTTTTGTAACAGTAGCTTGATTTTTAAACAGTTGTATGGTCAATTTTGGTACTGGGTAGAATTTGATTGTACTGTAGATGTGCTTGTTAGAAGCTTGTGTTGCTTCATCTTCCGAAGAAATAGCATAACTGTTTCAAATGAGAAAAAGGATTTTAGCTGATTAACTGTGATAGCTGTAATGTGCAAATATATTTTTCTTGCACTGATTGCTGTATAATGCGTGAACATTTGATACCTTGAACACAGATTTTTAGCTATTGTTAGCTCTGTGTGTTGTAGAGCAATATGTAGTTCAATGAAACCACCTTAAAACCAGGAATTTACATATGTCAGGAGTCTATAGATGAGTTCTCAGGAGTTTGCACTGATCTAGTTGTATTTATGTTAATGTAAATGTAATTAATGATAAATCCATGTATGTATCATCACACATTTAAATTTCTCTGATTATAGGATGATTTATTTCTGTTAGTGTTAGGAAACTTCACTCAGTTTTCCAGTTAGATTCATTTGAGGAGTCTGGAATACATAATGTACTCTTGTAATATTTTTTTTTATTAACAGATAAATGTGATAACTTTTTTTTTTTTTACTAGATTAGCTTCTAGAAATAAAATCTACTGGATGGTTTTCTGGGTAGCTAGAGCTCCAAATAGTTTCCCATGCAAAGATTAAATGGACTAATTTTCATCTTGTGCTCGCTACATGCAAGCATTCTGGAACTACTGTAAAACCAGTCTGAATTAATTTTCAGAGTAGATATCATTGCTTAAGCTCATATGTGGGCATTCTGATACAGAATTAAAATATTCTAATTGTCTAGTTGACTCAGTTCTAACAGGAAAAAGCCTAAAATGAATTAAAACTTATTAAATCTTATATAAATATTCCGCTGATTTAATGCAGGTAGACTAATCAACTTGAAAATGACATCCTAGAGATGAACTTTGTGTGTTTGTCTTGTCTGAATATAATTAGTAGACTCCCTTAGAATTTGTGTTGATGAGAGGAGCCGATAAGTAAATGAAAATAATTTAAAGCAAAGGAATTTAAGAATAGAGGAGAGGAGAGCTCATTTTGGAAAAACTATTATTTAGACTACTAAGGTCTTAATATGGTAGTAAAAGCATTTAAAATCTGAAGGTGATGGATAGAGAACTGGGCAAAGAACTTCAGAATATATTTTTTTTTTTAGCCTGTAGTTGCCACATTTTTATTTTTGGCAGGGCATCCATTATGAAACTTTAGCCACGTAAATGTATAATTTCCATTTTGGTTTTTCACAGTATGGGTAATTGATTCTTGAAATACCTAAATTGTTTGCTTACTTTGTAGACATATGAGTCCTTATCACATTTCATCCTTTTGCTTCCTCCCACCTACAGTCCTGTGTGTCTGTAAAATGTTGTGGGATAAAGCTTTAAAGTGTGGTTATATATTACAGGTGCACTGGTAACAGGGTTTGAAATTTGCATTCCAAGAAATCTTTGGCAATAATTTGACATTATATTATGCGGCTACATTTTAAGCCAGATCTGTGGTCGGATTTAAAATAAATATTGATCTTTCAAAACAAGTTTTTGCTGCTTTTAAGAATGGGAGGTTTTAACAAATTGTTGTCCGTGCTGTAACAGATATTAAGCAGAACTGATTTGCTACAGCAGAAATCATGATTAGGCGGCATGTGGTGACACTTGCAGTTGCTGTTTTACCTACTCCTTCCCTTCAGTCGCTTTTTCTTTGCACTAGCATGCTGGTGGTGGTGGTGGGCAGTAACCCAGAATGGGAGGCTTATGTACCTTATCTTAGCCAGATCAGTTCCCTGATTTGTTCAGCTATTTGTGCTGCTGGACAGTTGTGCTAGCACAATACAGGAGCATCCTAAAGGCAGGGATTTATATGGCGGGGGGAAACCTATGCAAAGTTGTAAGGCTGAGAGTCTCAAACCAGTCCTTCCTCTGAAGGATTTGTAATGACATAGTTCATGATTGCTCAACTGTTGTGCTACTAGTGTTTCTCGCTTGCCCCCCCCCCCCTTTTTTTTTTTCTTCTTGTGTTCATTCTGAACACATGCATCCTTCTTGTATGTGGTCAGTGACTGGAAGAGGTGGGGGGAGCTTTAGAAACTGGAGTCTTTGGAATGCTTTTGGGCGGGGGGGGAACAAAGTAGCATAGTAGAAGTACTGATTCAGCCCTTCTCTCTCCCTTGCTTATCCTTGGAATATTTGCATTGGCCTGCCCTTTCCAGTTGTAATTCCAGCTGCCTTCTTCCTGTCTGCATGTATAGTATTTTTTTTAAGAGATCTTTCTTTGTGCTCGCTCGCTCTGCCCAGTTTCTTTCAGTTGGGCTCTCGATCTGTATTACATTGCATCACTTATTTATATCCTGCCCCGCTCTTGTGACTTTTTCCTATCTAATGTTCATAATATGTTAATGACTTTAATTTGTTTCTTCCCCTTCATAACCATGTAGTTCTGTCCTTGGCAACTCTCCCAGACCCCCAAGCAAAGCCACGTTCTCTTCAGCCACAGTCTGTTTTGGGGCAGAGTATGGTTTTCTTGAGTCCTCCTTAGCTGATGCATCCAGTAACCTTAATAAAAGATGAGAATATATCTATTACTTGAGTATGTCCCACATCTTAGCAGTACAGAGAAACTAAACCATGGTGCCTTGGAGGCACTTGTATTGTTTCTGCGTCGTTGTGGCTATCATTTTCTGGAGAGGCTTGATTGGCATCATGAGCTTCCCCGTGGGAGAGCCAGAGCACGAGAGGAAGTGCAATACTGCCAGTCTTTTCTTGGGCTAAGCTCTGTATGACAGTTACAGCTTCCTAAGAAGTTATGGTGGTGTTTTGCTTTTTGTTTCCTTTTTACTTCCAGTTTGAATAGATGCTCTTCGGCTTGATTCTGTTAATTGCTTCTCTTAAATGAAATTGAAACGCTCCTCCTGGGTTTGATAACCTTTTTTAAAAAAGCCATGCAGCTAACAGCATGTTAGCCCATATTTTAAATAAAATAAAGATTAGTATAGTGTATTCAAAATGTGTATGGATTGTTGCTTTTTTTCATGGCTTCAGATTATGTGTAACTTGCCTACAGCACTTCTGTAGTGCTTAGTAGTGTTAAAATAAAGAGCACTAGTCTAATGATGACAGTGTTTCTACTGGAAAAATCCCAAGCTCTTCGAGTTTGAAAGAGTTAGGTTATTTTCCTCTTATAGCAGTCCATTGGATTGCTAAGTGGGAAGCAGTGGATGTGTGCACCTATTTAGGATGCCTTTGTGAGACCGTAAGTATATGTTCAAATCCTTTCTAACCCTGCCCTATGGCAAGAGAAGTTTAAGACTTCGTGGAAGGTCTTGAATTTGATCCATAGTCTTGCATATTAATTATAAGCCACTGCTGTGGGCTTTGCTGTGCATTTAAAAACGGTGTATTTTTCTGCTGCTCTTGTATATTGGTTACCTTTGTTTAGAATATTTATTGTAAGTATATACAATGATTAGGGTTTGTAGGTTGCTGTAGTAATAGTAGCTGAGTAGCTGAGCAGACCTTAGAAGTGGATAGTGTATTTAGGTGCTTAAATATGGATCTTTGAGTTGAGTTTAGGCACTAATTTAAAAATAATATTAATCCAGTTTTCAGGTTTATCTAATCTAAATTGTACCAAGTGTGTTGCTGAGGTATTTGTTTGTACACTTACGTGTTGAGGCAACAGTATATTTCATTACTTTCTACCAAAGTTCAGAATTCCAGAATTCTGCTTCGAAAGGGACAGGTTTGCCAAGCAAAGTTTTAATACGTTTCATAACCCAGTTTAAACTCCTTTAGGAAGGAAAGCTTGTGTATCTACATGAATATATGTGTATATATGTGTGTGTGTTTGTGTGTATACATATACACACACATGACTCTATGAAAGTACTCCAGTGGACAAATTGATGTCAAATATATACATATAGATGTGTATATATATAATTTCCTGCTAATTTTTATGTACTACTAATACTTAATCAAACTAGCCCACTGAGAACTGCTTTTGCTGTACTACTCATGTAACATGTCTAGTTCTCTAGATAGTCTAGGGTTATAGGTTTAATTATTTGCATGTTGGGGTTTTCTCTGGAATGCCTAATTTCTCTCACTTTTAATGCAATAATTTGTGAGTTTTGTTTCTCATCTTTCCTGTCTGTCTGACTCTTATGTTTGTGCTTTCCACTTCACAGGCATGCAGTATGGTGGATATGTTAATAATCAAGCTAGCTCTGCACCAGCTCCCTTGTCATCAAGTTCAGATGATGAGGAAGAGGATGAGGAGGATGAGGAAGCAGGTTGGCTTTAGCTTTACACCAGTATCTTGTTCCTTTTTCTACCCTAGTTTTGTTCCGTATTTCAATCCCCTGAAATTATTTTTTTCTTTAAAGCCAGAAAGCCCCTCTGACTCATCATATAGCCGATTACCTGGCAATTTCCCAACTATGTTATTAATATAATAAACAAAAAGGAGTTTGTTAGTGGTCAGAAAAGTCTTTTGTTTGTCACATGAATATCAGATGTTTTATTTATCTTAGAACTCGTATGATTCAGTTTCAATATTTTGGTGCTCAGATTTTTAAAAATCTAACTCTTAACTGAAGACATCTGGCTATAGAACTTATACTGATAACTGTTTATGTTCTGCAAGTGAAGCAACTACATGCCATTTGTATCATTATGTTAAACAATGTTCATCTTATTTCCAGTTTATGTGTAGGAACACTTACAGTTAAGGTAATAAAGTAAATATCGGAAGATTATAAGTGTGATTCTTGTAAAGCAGTAGATTAACCTGTGCTGCTTTTGTTTTCTTTTTCTAGGGCATGTCTATACCGTTCAGGCACATCAGATCAGTTTTAGCTTGGTTGTTTTGCAGGGATCTTGAAAAGTTTATTTACTTTTTTGAACATCCTAATTTATAAAGACAAACTGCTTCTTATGTCCTTGACTGCAAGGATTCTGTCTGTTCTTTGTCAGAATTGCTTGGTTTTGAAATTAGTTTGTGTTTCTTGCCACCTTAGTTTCTGTGATAGTAACTTTTTTCTTCTGATCTAACTCAAAAGTTCTTCGTAATCTGTGTGTGAGGGGTAATGGTATAAAAAGCTTTCTTAAATTAAATTTTAGGCTTTACTTTTGTTGATACACAGAAGTAATTTCTTACAAAGTATACTACCTACCTTGTACTGATATGCTACCCCGGCTTGTGTGTGCTGGCCTATTAATTTGGGAGGAGAGCAAAATCTTGTAACTTGTCCTTCAGGTTTATAATTCATACTGTAACTTGCTTAGGAAAAATTGGTGTGCTGTAGTTCTGGGTTTTATTAAAATAAGAGGCAATCATGAAACTGAAGTACTATGAAAATAACTTGGTGCACTTTTACTGTTTTCATGAAGAGTGGAGCAGAACAATGATGACATTCAGGTCACAATTAGAAACAGTGTGATGGGTCCACATGATCATTTTGAAAATACTGATAAGACTGTTATATTGAGTTATTAGATGAACATTAGAAGAGAATACTTTCAGTTGCTCTTTTTCTAAAGAGGAAGGAGTTTTCAGATGGAGGCTCTTGCCATTGTTCCAGCCAGCAAAGGACAAATATTTACAAGATAAGGAAATTATATTTACAGGAAAAGGAAACTGTTGATATTATTTCCCCCATCCCAATGGAGGACAAGTATTAGGATGCTTAACATATCTTCTTTAATTTTCGCTATTTCAAATTATTGCTTCAGTGTCTTTATTTTCTTACTCTTTGTGTGATAGCATATTGACTCTTTCAGTAAGTATAAAGACTAGGGTTAAATCATACACAGTAGCTCTTGATTAGCACTTCTTTCTAAATCTAAAAATACTTCCTAAGTCTAGATATCATATGTCTTCTAATGCTGGGTAATGCCATAGGTTTAATTAGGCACCACAAGCCAGGAAACTATCCTGGTTTGGAATTTAAAATTTTGTTTTGATCGTGATGCAGTTTGTTTGAACCCTTCATAGTCTGCTTTCTAGAGCATAGTCGGGCTAAAATAGCCAGGGGAGAGTTCTTGTTACAGAGCCTCCTGCAACATTTCCTATAGACAAAGATCTTCCTGTAAACCTGTCCCAAGGTTTCTGTCAAAGCATATGTCAGAATTCTTTATCGGGCAAAACCTTTGTCTCTTTGTTTTCCAAGCCTACTAGACACAGAGATAAGTTTTCATACTCCTCACATCTTTGTCTGTCAAGTTCCCTACTTCTGCTAAAGCCTATATTCTTTGAGCTATCATCCTGCTTGCTTTTATCTTATACAAAAGAGTGAAAGGGTATCTAGATTGAGTACACAGGCTACCTGACTAATAAACTTCCTGTTTTGTGCCCTTGTCACCAGGGCACAATATAAACCTTAACATGTTCCTAGCTCAGTCTGTGCCAGTGTTTTTTTGGTTTGTTTAATTGGGTTTTTTTTTTTTTTTTGAAAAATACAGGGGGGACATCTGCTTGTTTGTGTTTCTGTAACTTCTCAAAGTTTATATCACTTTCACCAGTTTAGATCTTGTATTAACAATGTAACAAAAGAGGTTTTGACAACTATATAAAGGCAAAAGTTAAATTGGCTTAAATAATTGTGTGTAATCTTAAAAGGATGTTGTAAGTACTGTAACTATCTGTCTAAGCAGTTTTCTGTTGTTTCCTTCTTTTTTTTTTTCTTTTTTTAAATGCATTCTCTGATCTGCTACCTGCAGTGCTAAATTAAATTCTGGCATCTGTTGTAGCTTAACTTTAGCATAACACAATTCCTGTTCAATTTTGTGGAAGTTTTTGTGTTTTTGTTGAATGAGAATCTGAAGTTTTCCTGACGCACGTGGCAAGCTTAGAGTCTGAACATACTGTCGCTTCGCAGGACGTTGCACAACTAGTTGTCCCTTATTTTTTAGAGGTAGTCTTTTTGTTTCTTACCTGAATGCTTTAAAGGCGACGTGCTCAAAAACGATCTATACGGTCATGATATTGCCATGGTGTTAATAACTTCCCAAATTTCAGCAACGATGTGTTCCCCTATATAAAAACCTCTTGTCCAACCACTGAAATTCTCCCCTGGAATAGTTTTGGCTTCCCAAAGGGTTGGTGGTCACAGTTGATCCTTCTGAGTCGAGCAGTATCAGTGACCCTCTTTTGCTTCTGTTACGCCTATCACACCACAGAAATTATATATAATGATCTTTTTTTGAATGCTTTCATTTACTCTTTCCTTTGCGTTGTGTTTTGTGGCTTCTGGCATTTTAAGGAGCAAAAACATTTAATCTGTTTTTCTTCCTTGGCCCTTTTTCTTTGGAAATGTACCTTTTAAAAAAAAAAAAATCAGTAAAAATGTTTTAAAATGTATATGTCATGTTCTATATTCAGAAAATAGGCTTAGAGTCATGCAAAAATTAAGCATTAGCAGTCTATTCTGTACTGAAAAATCTTATCAATACCTACATAGTTGTTACTTTTGGCTGCACCAGAATTTAGTTTATTCTGGCTGAGATTGAGAGCTCTTGTCGACGTTCAGTGGAAATAGAAGCTTTATATCAAACCTGAATCAAGCTCTTAATTACAACAGCATGGAAAGGAAGAAAAAGCAGATACATGTCAAGACAGAATTTACCCTATGCACCATTTTGGGCAAAACTCGCTCTGAAGACGATGGTAGTCTTTTTTTATTGTTTGGAGTTCTGAGGGAAGTCGCAAGAGAGTATTTACAAAATGTTGTATGTTGCTTCATCTCATGTAGTCTAGAAAGAGTTTGTAATTTAAAAGGAAAATATTATTGGTTTCAAGAAACAGCTCTTTTACTGTTATTTCTTTTCTGTCCTTTTCCCTTTGGCGTCTCTTCTATTTGTTTTTGTTTGGTTTTTTTTTTTGTTTTGAAATACCACCTAGGTTTCTTATTTCTTCCTCCTCCTTATTTTTGCAGTGGTAATAGCTTTCTAGTCTTATGGCTGAAGTGATCTTTTTTTTTTCTCGGATCTTTCTTGAGAGCTTCTTATGAAGGTTTTTAGAAAAAAATCCTCAGCCTTTTATTCCTCAAAAATTTACTATTTCAGAAGCACCTAATTCTTGTTTTTTTGTTTTTCCCCTCCTTAGCGATTGATAGTTCCTCTACTACTAGCAGTGCCTCTCCTGTTCTGAACAATTACGATGCCCTGGAAGGAGGTGGCTATCCAGGTGAGCCGTTTGTTGTTGTATGTTAATTCTGAATTCCTTAAGACTTAGAAAAACCATAAATGGTAAATATCTACCTGGTATTGTTTGTTTGTTAATTAACAAGCAGGCAAAAGGAAGTACCTACAAACCTGCTCTGGGTTTTTTAAAATAACTTTTCAGAGTTTTAACGCAGAAATTGGAGTATAATAAAACAACTGTGTCGTAATTCATACTTATTCATGGTAGTATTGAGGGTAGTAATGGAGGTACACTCTTTGCGAAATGGGGGTAGCTTTCTCTAGGTTATGCTGTATGCCTGATTGTGTTGACATTAGTGGCTGATAGTAAATGATAGGCACCGCTAAAGTTTTGAGAGACCAAAGACTTCATTTTGCAGAGATGCTGGGATCAGGTTGTTTTCTTCTGTTTATCCACATTTAAAGAAAACGTGAAAGATACGGCTGCTGTTCTGCTTGCTTTTATCTCTAGAAATATCAGGAATGTTAGTTTTATTCTAAATTTAAGGCTAACAGTCTTGAAATCTGTAGAGCTGTCGTTCTGAGAGTGGTTAGGAAAGATGCCGTTTAACGAGGATATGTTAGCCGGTATTTTAAAAGATAACCGGATTAACTTTTGGGGCTGCCATTCAGGCTCTCTTGCATTGCTCTGGTATCTCAGAACGTCATGATAGTTTGCTTAAATATTTTGGAGGAGCTTTTGTGTAAAGCAGAATACTGCATGAGTTGGACATTATGTGGATACCTATATCAGCTTTTTACCTGATGAGTAAGGGCAGAAGAGCTATGGCTGCAGGATTATGGATTCTGATTTCTCAGCTACTAAGTATCCGTTTGGGTTCTGCTGAAGGTGTATTTTGAAAATAAGATAAGCAGAAAGAATAAATTAAAGGATAAAAGGATCAGGTTTAAATTTCTCTGGCCTCTTGATTTTTCTAACTGCACAGGCCAAACCTAGTTTCTCAGAGACTGGGGTTTTTGAGTGGTTTTCCTGACACTTCTCGCAGTAAATTGCACCAAGTTTAAACTCTTCTGAAATTGAGGTCATGCTTGTAGGCATTAAATTCTAAAGCATCCTTTCATCTCTTCACAACTGTTAATGTGCTCTATGAGTTGAGATCTATGTGTTACTTTCAGCTTAACCTTTTAAAATAGTGTGACCAAACTCTGCTGCAAGATATACAGGAGGGACATGCATTACTGCAAGAAAAGCTCTGTATCTGCACTTAGAGAATAGTACTATCACTGTATGTTTTAAAACCATAAGTGGTTTGGGAAGAGACCAAGCACGAATGGGCTTTTTTTTTTTGTAGTTTATATCAGGGTCAAATCCTGGAGTAAAATACAGTTTTAAGGGATTTTTTTTTACTTCCTATTTCTTTATGGGTGAAATACTTGTTTTTTAAATATATAATGTATATAATAGCTTTTTGAAGTTTCTGTGAATAGATAATGCAAGTCTATAGTCATCTTCTGATGTAAACCCCATTAACAACATTAGTTGCAGTAGTCTATCTCGCTAATGGCTTGTAATTATTTGTGGTTAACGCAAATAAATAACTTGATAATGTAAGAAATTACAAATTGAAAAAGTATTGTTTATTTGTAAAGCATTTAGGAGTTTCCATTTGAACTAGGGCTTGTGGGATTTTTGTCCTTCCAGAGACGCGTTCTGTGACCAGCAGCCCAGTTCCTGCCCCTTCAGTTCCCCAAACATCAAAAACGTCTAAGCCCTTTGGTTATGGATATCCAGCGCTGCAGCCTGGTTACCAAAATGCAACACCGCCTGCTCCTATGCAGCCCAGTAATCCAGGCCACCACCCTGGGTTTCAGCACTATCCACAGGTTTATATTATACTTGTTTTTCTACATATTTTCATATTTTATTTTTTTAATTTTTAAAGTAATAAGGGTTGATATACTATTGAAGTTGCCTGTCTAGTATGTTAACCTAGACTGCTAATTAGCAGGCTTCTTGAATGAAAATTAAGCCTATCTGCAAATAGCTAGACCTTGCCTTACCAGTTCTTATTTGGAGCAACTGTTTTGAGGTGTAGTGTTTCAAAGAGCTGTACTTTAATGATGGAAACCATAAAGAGGTGAAATAAAGTGCGTGGTCAGAAAATAATATTTGATTAGGAACAATACCATGGGCTTTGGTCTCAAACAGTAAACTGCTTTATGACTAAGGCATTGTACAGAGTCTGGATGAAAGAGCAGCACCTGTGCTGGGTGTGAGGTAGAGCAGGATGCCTGCATCTGCTCCCTCCTCCTGGTAACGACAGCACCAAACACCCAAGAAGCTGTGAACAGTCACTTTGCTCTGGTGACGCATGCAAGTGCTGAGGGGAAATACAAAAGCTGAGGCAGTGCAGAGAAGTGTGTGTGTGCAGGGGTGTAGAAAATCAAACCTGCTGATTTGCACCCCCCCACACACCCCCTTTCTGAATATGGGCTAGCTGCAAATGCATTGAAACTACTGCTTTAGGTGATTGGAGTTCCTTACTGGCCTGATAGTAGTCTAAGTCAGCATGTTATGCCCAGAAGAGAATAATCACGTTGTTACAGAGGTAGTGCAAAATGTGACATAGAGGGAATGTTTGTTATTTCTTTGAGGTGAAAGAAATAAGTGTGTTCAACATAGCTTCTTTTTCATATATTCAGAGACAAATGTTACCAAAAAACTTTGATTGCTGCAGGTATTAATTCGGAAAATTTATAGCATAGTCCATGATCTCTTTAAAGCTGTGTCAGTCATCTTTATTACAATAGCATAGTTTGTTGAATTCAGGTGAATGTGAATTCAAGTGTATAATGAAACCAAAATTGTTTTAAATTGAGAACTGAAGGTGTAACCTAATTTTAAGTTTCTAAATTGAGAGAGCTTTTATATTTACTCCTTTGAAACATTCCTTCATAAAACTGGCAAGACTTACGATAACAAAGCCTGGGACTTGCCTTTTGTTGAAGAGATGTGGAGAGAAAGGGGAATCTACTTGCAGTCTCCAGTTTCCAAAAGGTTGGATTAGGCTAGGCTCTTTCCACAGACACACTGTTGGGGGAGGGAAAAAAAAGAAGAAGAAAAAAAAGGCAGCAGTCACAAGTTGCAACATGCAAAATTCCAAGTGGACATGCAAGGAGAAAATCCTTCAGAACAGGAGTGGAGAAGCACTAGAAAGGGTTGCACTGTGAAATCATCCATCCTTGGAGATTTTCAAAACTCAGCTGGACCAGGCTTTGAGCAAGCTGATACAACTTTGAAGTTAGTATTTGAACAGGGGTTTGGACTACCACATCTCCAGAGGTACCTTCCAACCTAACCTTTCCTCCTTTTGTTTGATATATTTATATTTTTTAATATTAAAAAAAAAATTGAAACAATTTATTTAACTTGGAAAGATCAACTTGAAACACCTTCGAAGACAGGAAAGACCCTCTGTTTTCCTAGTAACTTACTTATATTCAAGCCTTCCAAGTAGAGGAATACAAGGATCGTATGTGACTTCTCATGTTCATTTGTATACTGAGTTTGAATTTTGTCTCATGAAACAAATGTAGATAGCCCTTCCAAATATGTTTTAGCATTTCTAAAATTACTGCCATCCAACGTTTTCCCCACTTGTATGGGTTCATTATTAACTGCTGCTGTATCTCTTGTAAGTAGATGTTTGGAAGAATTGGGATTGCAAGAAGATTTAAGGTGCTTTTGGTTTGGTTTGTTTTTTAACCCATTTGCAATGCTCATATTTTTGCAGCAATATCCAGGTGTGAACCAGGTATCCTCTTCCTTAGGAGGACTAAGTCTACAGCATTCTCAGCAGCCAGAAGGCTTGAGACCAGTAAACCTTACACAAGACAGGAATATTTTGCCTGTTTCTTCAGTTCCAGCACCTGTGCCTAACTTGAATTCTGATCTTAGGAAATTAAACTGCAGTCCAGAGTAAGTGTTGTGTCTGTACCAGCATGTTACATTTTTTGTGGCTGATAATTATTTAAAGCATTAACAAAATATGTAAACTGATGCCTGACTGTAAATTGTGGTGATAATTAAATTGGGGGGAGGGGCTTTTTCATTTTTTAGGAGGTTTTTTACTTTCTTAAAGACATGATTTCTATTCATTTTAACTATCATTGTTGTGGAACAATTTCTTAAATTTCAGAATTCCTTAAAATCAGATGTTAACACAGTGTTTCTAACATATTTTAAAATTTCATTTGCAACATAATGTTTTTATTTCCTTTCAGCTCATTTCGATGTACATTGACAAATGTTCCACAGACACAGGCTTTGTTAAACAAAGCTAAGCTTCCTTTGGGTTTGTTGCTACATCCCTTTAGAGACCTAACGGTAAAGTGACTTACTTTTAGTATATATGTTTAATACATGTATTTGTCCCATTTTGGTGTTCAGACACAATAAAATAATCATGAAATACAAGTCCTAAATTTAACAGAAGTAGCAAGAAGTTTCTTGGTGGTTAAGAGGGGGAGAGGGGAAAACACTTGTAATTGCTACTTCATTGAAATCCATAAGGGAAAACTTTTGGACAAGTCCTTCAAAACTTTTTCCTTATTACCTGTTTGAATGACATGTAATGAAGACTTAGATTTCCTTTTGAAAAGGAGTGCCAATGTGAATGCATTACTGGGATGATAAATGCTATTAGTAGAAGCTAAGCACAATAAAAGATTGAAGCTGTGTTCCCAACTGTTGAGCAACTCTTCTCCATGTAATGTATTTTTATTTATGTAGAAGGTGAATAACTATATGGTATGACGTTTTTCTTTACAGTGTGTTCTTCAATGTGTAAGGCTTACTGTAAAGCATTTAAGACAAAAAATACTAAATATTATTTCTTCTGATTTTTAAACGGGAGGACTTTTTAATGGGCATCATTATTACTTTGTATGAGAGTGAGCTAAAAATAAAGATGACAGAATATCTGGACTTAAGAAGCTTTTATAGTCTGTACTGCAAAATAATGTTCTCTATAAAATATATTAGGTATCTCTGTTAAACTTTTTTTTTTTTTTTTTTTTAAAAAATTACCAGTAATAACATCAAGCACAATAGTGAGATGCAGATCCTGCAGGACATACATCAACCCTTTTGTTTCTTTCATTGATCAAAGGAGGTGGAAATGCAATCTATGCTATAGAGTTAACGATGGTAGGTTTTATAAGAGAAGATTCTTGCGTTTATATAATCTTTGAAGTATGTGCATCATATCAGTCCGTGAGATACTCTAGACTAAAATGGCGGTAGTCTTGAGAGATTTTTTTGAATTCTCTAGATCATAAGTCAGAGGTACTATGCGTTTTCTGAAGCAAAAGGTCGTTTTACAACTTTCTAGGAGACTGAGAAAATGTGATCACATTGTCCTGGTGACTTGTGTAATGAAATCAACTTGCTCCATTGACTGCTTTTGTAATAGGCAAATGTAAACATGACAGCAGTTAATACTGTCTGCAATCCAGGCTAAAGGTTATGATAAAGAATACAAATTGTGTTGAACTTGTTATACAATGCTTTATTTGCATTGCTGTATTCAAAGTGATATAGTATCACTGTTTAAAATGAAGCTTTTTTTGTTTCCAGTTATTTAACTTTGATGTTTCTTGGGATACTTGAAATGTTCCTTGATTTTTTTAATTTTTTTTAACATATCCTTAATGTGAATTTTTTCTATTGGTAATGATAATTGAAATACAGTTGCTTGTAGCTGGTGTGATGGTTTTTATTTGGTGATAAATGTATAAATACTGGAAACATACTTGTTTTTTAGTTCCTGAAGAATTTATGTATAATCCTCTGACACGATCTTATGGAGAGCCTCATAAACGGCCAGAGGTCCAAAATTCTACAGTGGAATTCATTGCTTCCTCAGACTATATGGTAAAAATGTTTTCATAGGAACTTTCACAGCCATTCCGTGTTAATGCACAATGTTAATTTCAAATATATTTATATTGTTCCAGCAGTAAGTATTAGTTTTCCTGTGAAGGTCCTCTAATACCAAAGAATAGTTAGATTTCAGATTTATTTTAAGTTTTAGCAAATGTATTTATTCGGAGGCTTGTCAGTGAAATGCAGTTGCAACGTGTGTAGTTGCTTGGTACAATTTAACATTGCCTAATGTGCCCCACATTTGGCACAATGTGGTTTCTGGGCATCTCCCTTATCCTCACAAAGGTTGTGAAAGGCCGGTAGCAGAATAATGAGGGAATTAAACTGGATTCAAATCTCTAGTTAGGATCATATCTGTCACAGTTACTAAAAACGAGTCAAACTACAGTTGCTGTGATAGTTATGTGGTATTGTATCCAATAAGGATAAAGAAACAAGGGCTGGAAAATGGCCCTGTTCTAATGACGTTGTTAACAGCAGCAAGAAGGAATTTTACTCTTGAATTGAAACGTTATGGCTACAGTATTTGTTAATATGAATAACTATAGCTTGTATATGGTGGGGGAAAAGGATGCACGTGGATTGTTTTAACACAGATTAGTGGATCACGTTGTCCACATTCTGAAACAACAGTGCTGTTTTGAAGAGTGAGTTCCATATTTGGCATCCATATCTCATTTTTGAATTGACTGATGGAAAGAAAGACTAGAATGTCAAATTTCAGCTCAGAAGCATAACGCTGTATGCTTATTGCAAATGGGGACTGTTAACCACTGGGAATTGTGGTTAAATCTGTCCATGTGACTGCGTTAGACTCTTGTAAGATATAACTTTACTGCGTAAGGTATACCTTGTGTTTTTCTAAATATTCTATTTTTCCCCTTCCCTTTCTAATGACTAATCGTTTTTTAACATCTCTTTAAGTATGATTTTTGAATCTAATTGTTTATTTTACTTTGTAGCTTCGTCCTCCTCAGCCTGCAGTATATTTATTTGTTTTAGATGTGTCTCATAATGCAGTGGAGGCTGGATATTTGACAATAGTCTGCCAGTCATTGCTGGAAAACCTAGACAAGTAAGAATATAAATGACTTTTTCAGATTAGCTAACATGTGATTATGAACAGTATTAGCCTGCAGTTTTGAATAAAACTTGCATGTAGTGTTTGAGCGATCTGTTCCTAAAGGACAGAAGTTCCGTTGCCTGAGACAGATTCTGAAATGCAGCTTACATGTCTAAGGAAGTAATTCAGCTGTGTAGTTCAAGTCACTTGCATAATGAGAAATATCTTCTGTGATTAGTGGATCTGAAAATAGTTGTATTTAGCTATAACTTCTAACAACATATTGATTATTCAAGCACCTGTAAAGGTCTCTTTTTCTGAAGACCAACAAAAAAAATTTACAGAAATTAAACTGGCAAGTTCTCATGTGCTGTAACAGCTGAGGTGCTGTGTCCTGGAATGTTGTAACCACTAGTATGAGATGGCCAAGTTGAACTGTGGTGTCAGCCTGACATTTTCATAGATCGCAGTTACCTAAATCTGCTTGTGCCTTGTCCAGTATGTGCCATTTTTGCATTGAAACAGCACCTGTGGGTTTTTTGTTAGTGCTTTCTCGGGGAGGGCTGATAAACTTCACTATGCTCATGTCTATTTGAAAATCAATTTGCATCCTGTGGAGGCCGCCTTCTTAGAAAATGTTTTGTAGGCAATTTGTTAGTAAGTTGAAAACTTTCCTTTCTGATAAAGGCCATCAATGTATACAATGAAAATACTTCATTTACATTTCTTGTGTTAGTTTTCGTTCAAGGCTTTATTGCTATTTAGTCAATATGTTCTCAGAAGCGTAGTGATTTATTTTTAGGAAGATTCAATTTATATCCAGGTGGCAAAGCAATTTTTGTCTCTATTTCTTTTGTTCAAAAAAGGTTTTTGGCATTTGGTGATGTTTTATATTATATGTTAGAATTCCTATTTCGTTTTTTCATTAGCTTAATACCATGCACTGAATTACTGTCTGCCTGAGATATGTGTGTTGCGTTTTACAGACATTGATTTTGTTTTTTCATTAGCTTAATGCCATGCACTGAATTACTGTCTGCTTGAGATATAAGTGTGTTGCGTTTTACAGACATTGATTTTTGTTTTAGAGTTACGAGTATTCTGCCACTATGCTATTAAAATGGGTTTTTTGATTTATGAAACCACAAAATGCACTGTTTTCTGTTGAAGAACTACTGTCGTCTTTCATATTGTATTGTGGTGCTTAAATTAGCTTATTAAGCTGTCTTAGAAATAAACATCAGTATATTAGTGAATGCTTATTTCACTAATAATATCTAGATATTAGCAATATCTAGAGGCTTGTAAACTATATCATTGTCTTACCTCTTCAAAAAATACTCAAGAAACATTATTTGTATTCACAAATTCAGGTCTTCCTCGTTTCAAGCTCTTTCCCATTCCCTTCACCTCTGAATACATGAACTGGGTTTCTGCTGATGTCAGTGGGGGCTGTGTTTGCATGTGTGTCTTATGAGGGAGAAATTAAAATTTAGGCCTTAATAGTTGACTCTTTCTTTATGCTTCAGGCTGCCTGGAGATTCAAGAACAAGAATAGGGTTCATAACGTTTGACAGCACTGTTCAGTTTTACAACTTGCAGGAAGGTTTATCTCAGCCTCAAATGCTGATTGTCTCAGATATTGATGGTGAGTAACAAGAAAATGAGAATTAAATTTCTGAGAAGCTTTTTAAGATTTTTCTTTTTTCCCCAGAGGAAAGATTAGAATTGCTCAAATATTTTGGTGTTAGGTCAGTTTTACCAAGTTCTTAGGGAATGCTCTATTCAAAAATAATCTTATGCTAACTGAAAACAGGAGGCGGTTAAAGAGTGAAAAACAAATGTTAATTTTGTGTTGAGCAAAGCAAGCTTTGTATAGACTGTAATTTTTTTTCTATAATGTATGTCAAAAATGTAGGCCTTATTTGGTGGCTCTTACAGCAGTGGGTAACGAACTTTCTATTTGAACTTTTTTTTCTCATTAAAGAAAAATGCTATTTTCCCTTCTCCCTACAGATATTTTCCTGCCCACACCAGATAGTTTGCTTGTAAATCTTCATGAAAGCAAAGAGGTATGATTGTTCAAAAACATATCATTACATTTAAACAGATAAATATTCAAAACAGAGGTTCCTTTTAAACTTTGAGTTCAAATCTATTTTAATAATGTGCAATTCCAATGTTGCTTTTTAATTAAAAAGATTATACATTGTTTGATGCATCATAGGTTTTGAAATGATGATCATTTCCTCATTGTGTTGAAACTAAGCGGAAATATTTGGTGCTGATTGTTCAGCACTTATGACAGCCTTTTACTAATACAAAGTATCTCAAGTTTGCAGAATCTCAGAAATGCCTTTCGATGTATTTTACAGCTGATAAAAGATCTATTGAGTGCATTACCAAATATGTTCACCAATACAAGAGAAACACACAGCGCATTGGGCCCTGCACTTCAGGCTGCATTTAAACTGATGTCTCCAACAGGTGGTCGGATATCTGTATTTCAGACTCAGTTACCATCTTTGGGTGCAGGGCTTTTGCATTCCAGAGAAGATCCCAATCAAAGATCAAGCACAAAGGTACAGAAACTTGATTATTCATTTTATTAGAGAGAATAGGGAGTGGTAGTGTCTTTTTGACTAGCATAGTTCTGCAGACCAACTCCTGGTGTTTTGTGCACAGTAATTCATTGAATTTTCAATATCCTAAATGTCTGCCTTATACATTTAAGATCACTAATTTACATATGCTTGTGTGATATTTGTTGCAAAGCACACAAGCTGTTCTTTGGACCTCTGGTCTACAGTTTGTCGTGACAAGCCCAAGTAGTTGCAAATATTTCTGACTTGGTTTATATCAACCTGCGCTTTGAACCAAGGTGTGTCTGTTAAGCAGACCTGCAACATGAGTTCTTATTATTTTTATGGTCTTGTAATACACAATATCCAGTAAGTATTTTATAGTTATACTTGAATATTTATTTGTATGAGAACATAAATTTCCTTAAAAAGGAGGATTGTTACTGCTCGTAAATATAAATGGAAAGAAGGTGTAGCATGAAGAAATTATTTCTGCCTGTGTTTTGAAATGCCTAGAAAATATTGTTTAAAAGAAACACTTTTTGATACTTTGCCGTTGAGTAGTATGTTTATTGTGCCATGAAGTCTTAAGGGAGCATGATCTTTGTTTTAACTCTTGTCCTATGTAATTTGTTCACCAAAGGTGGTCCAGCATCTTGGTCCAGCAACAGACTTTTATAAGAAGTTGGCGTTGGACTGTTCAGGCCAGCAGATTGCTGTGGATTTATTCCTCTTAAGTTCACAATATTCTGATCTAGCTTCCCTTGGTAAGGGATACTTTATGCACGTCTTTAGCACTTCCACAATTTTGTCCGTCTTTGGAAACGTGCTAATTCAGGAGTTCTTAAATCGTGTAGATTTTTTTGCACTTTTTTAAATGCAGCTAATGCTGCAAAGGATTTGACTTAGAAGCTGATAGCAGTAAAGAGCAGGAATATTGCATTGATGGTATCGAAAACAGTTTATTCTGAGACTTGGCAATTTTAAACTAGGAAGTACTCTTCTGCTCAAGAGCGGGAAACAGTGAAATGGCAGGGAAGAGTAAAGTTTAGTAATAAGGGTGGAACACAGTTCTCACCTTCAGTTCTTTTGATATTTAAACCAAGATTTGTCTCTGCACACCAGAAAGCAAGTATTTCTGTGTGTTCCCACTACTTGCTGCCAAAGGTACATAAAATATTAAGAAGCTTATTCGAGTAAGTGTGTGTATACAATTAGATAATTCAGTGTTGGAATGACTTACTGTCATCTTCAGTGATCGGAGTCAGGGCTAGCCATCCTTGTCTTATAGGTGCGGGTTGCGTCAAGAAAAAGATGAATGTAGGCGGGACTTGATTCAGGTTGAATGGGTGTTATTTAATTTGTGTGTCCTGACCTCATGTGATATACTAAGATGGTCTTTATTTTTCTTCTATACAATGAGTTTTTAAGAAGTTTCTTAAGACCTGAATATATTTTCTGCTTAACCTGATTATGAAATAGCACTAGTGACTTTGGTTTTTTTTATAAATAAATGTTACAGTTTTACCTCTTAACCAGGTCTTTTCCCTCCTTCACAGCTTGCATGTCCAAATACTCTGCTGGATGTATCTATTATTATCCATCTTTCCATCATAGCCATAATCCTGCTCAGGCTGAAAAGTTGCAAAAAGACCTTAAAAGATACCTTACAAGGAAGATTGGATTTGAGGCAGTTATGCGAATACGATGTACAAAAGGTATGCCATAAATACCTATACATAGAAAGATGGAAAGTTGATGTAAACCTATTATCTGTTGCTTCAGATGTGCTTAATCTTAACTTGAAATGTCTCATTGCTAATTTCTTTTTCACTGAAGATTAAGATAATTGCTGCCTTGACATCAATAAATTGCATTAGCTTTTTGCCTTTGCATATCTGTGTATTTTTTTTTTCTTAAGTGGCATTAACTCATTTCAACTAAATTGAAATGTGTAATGTAAGGGCATCATTCAGTTTGGAATTTCCAAAATTGGATATGAATTCTCAGATCATTCTGAAACATCTAATGATTCATGCAGTAATTGATTCTGCTTACTATTTAGGATAACCATTTCTACTATCCTATCGACAGGAGCTTTTCATGCTGTTTTAACATTCCTCTGTGTGAATTATTTCATCTGCTTCTAGGTCTTTCGATACACACTTTTCATGGGAATTTTTTTGTACGATCAACTGATCTATTGTCACTTGCCAATGTCAATCCTGATGCTGGATTTGCTGTACAAATGTCCATTGAGGAAAGTCTGACTGACACGTCTTTGGTTTGTTTTCAAACAGCTCTTTTGTATACTTCTAGCAAAGGTGAATAAATTCAGACGAATTCACCGCTGTTCTTGTTTGTTTGTTTTAATGGTAATGTTTGTATAGTTAATTCTATGGTCCCTTGTTGATCTCTGTTCCCTAAGTAAATGTTGTCAAAGTCAGTGTGCCTATCTGGCAGTTAATCACATAGGTAAATCTTTATAGAATCTGTTTGGATGGGAAAACGTAATTTATCTCCATCTTAAGTAAAAGAGTCTTGCTGAAACATCTTTACTTAGTTGGCCTGCCATGTTATGTTTGGCATCTACTGCCATCAAAATCACAGACCCTTAATCTGATGGATTGGAGCTAGTTGCTAGTATGTTTGGTAGGCATAAAGAATAGCAGCTTTTCTCTGTTGTAGAGGAAGCCACAAAATTTTGGGGTGGAAGTCTATATGTTGTCATCTGTAGAATCCAAAACGCTTACTTCGGGACACTGTGAACTAGGTCATGTCGTGAACTTGTGCTAATTCTTAAGTGGATTACTTTAAGAGCACTTCAGAATTAAAACGTTGAGAGACAGGAATGGTACATGGTGTTACTGCAATTTCATGACTGGTGTGTTATTACACAGTAAATGCATTTTGAATGAGACCAGATACGGTGTGACAATTGAAGATATATATATATAGCTCTTTCTGTTGAGAGATGTTGCGTAGTGACTTCTTTGTATTTTTATTAGGTGAACGGCGAATTCGAGTGCACACGCTTTGCTTGCCCGTAGTCAATTCACTGGCTGATGTATATGCAGGAGCAGATGTACAAGCAGTGGTATGCCTCTTAGCAAACATGGGTGAGTACAGGAATGAAAATTAAAGCGTATTTTCATATGTTCTTAATGTGATCAAGTGTTTAAACAACACAATGAATGAAGCCTGGGTATTGTAGGAAAAGGTTGCAATACACTGAAGCCTTTATATGGGGAAGAAGATGAAACTGAAGTCATGCTAAAACTATTAACTGAAACATTCTGTAGTCTGAATAATTACTTTAATCTTTTAAAGGAACTTTCTTGTATTGCTCTCTAGAGGCTCTTAAAATGATGAAGAGTCATCTTTTATAAAGTATGCTTAGATCAAAACCCTTGTGTATCACCACCGTGGCTGGCTGGTATCTCAAACTTCAGCCTTCCAGGGTCACTTAAGAAATGGCATGAATCAGTTGAGTGAGTCACTGCAGACTGAAAGACAAAGTACTTCTGACAACAGCGTCTCTGAGATGTGCATCAATCTTTTTTTATGTCTCTTGCCTAGTGTTGCTGGGCTGAGGATTCTTACTCATCCCGTACTTGTGTACCACTGCTGTTGTGTCACAAGCAGCCATTTCATAGGTTGATCTCTGCCATTGGGTGTGTACAGCGCTCTCTGCAGCATTTTTCTACATGCCATGTTGTATATTAATAGTCAAATAAACAGATTAGAGGAAGTGAATAGTACTTCTCAGAGGGGTTGGGAATGGAAGGAACATCTCGAGATCTTCTAGTCCAATTCCCCTGCTCAAGCAGAATCACCTAGAGCAGGTAGCCCAGGACTGTGTTCTGATGGCTTTTGAGAATCTCCAAGGGTGGAGACTCCCCAGCTTCTCTGGGAAACCTGTTCTAGCGCTCAGTCACCCTCACGGTAAAAAAGTTTTTCCTTATCTTCAGGTGGAGTCTGTAGTAGTACAGTAGTCTGAAGAAGTACTTCTGTATCGTGTGTTAAATTTGCATTCATTCCAGTAGATGGCTTCCTCCAACCAGAAGATTTGCAGCCCTTTCTCAGCAAAGAAAAACTAAACCTAAGTTGTTGTTCTAAGCTTAATTATGCCATTGAAACAGTGGCAGTAGTTTCTTGCTGCAAAAAATCCAAAATAATTACTGCAAATGCATGTCTTGGAGGCAGGACAGCAGATAGCTATTCCCAAAACTAAGTTATTTTTATAAAGTTTAAAACATTAATTGCATTTAGTTGCAGGAGTATGTACCACAGTTTTAAGCAATTTAAATCCTAAGAATGGGAACTAGGGAATAGAGCCCAGCCACTTTATTTTTTTTTTTTTTAAAGCAGTATACAAATGAGTTTCACTGAGGGAAATCATTTTATTTTCAATTTGTCTACAGTTGTGCTTTCTAAAAATCCTAACATATCCCCTCAGAGTACAACTAATATTTTGAAAATTTATTTGAATGAATGAAGTCATGTTTTGTAGCTGCTTGTATCCTTCTCATCCAACAGCTGTGGATCGCTCAGTTTCATCTAGTCTTTCAGATGCAAGAGATGCCTTAGTTAATGCTGTGGTAGACTCCTTGTCAGCGTATATGTCAACTGCCTCAAATCTGCAGCAGTCCATGCTGATAGCACCAAATTCCCTCAAGCTGTTTCCATTGTATATTTTGGCTCTTCTCAAACAGGTATGTATAATCTAGTAGGATTCTTTTTTTGATATTTGATTCCAAGTTGCTCCATTTTTGGATAATTCTTCAGCTCTAGATCAAGCTGTTCACTGCTAGCCTGTCAGCCCTTTTCTGAAATTGAGAACTGGATTATCTTCTTTTATGTGAAAGTCCTCTAGTCTCAGAGATGGATGGTTTAGCGTATATGACATGATCAGTGCCTGGACAGTTTTTTTACTTGATTTTGATTTTTGGTATTTTGTGTTACTTTGTTTTACAGTGAAAATCAAAAGATAAATATTGTAAGAATTAACATTTCTCAAATTTTGACAACTAATTGGTGTTGCTTAAATGATTGTTGGAAGCCACTTACTCGTACTTGTTAAATTTATTTTATAAAGAGAAAACAAATCAAATACTTTTCAATGCACATGCTGCATACTTTGAAGAACCAAGAAGGAAAATGAGAGCCCATGGAAATATAATGAAATCTATTACAGAAACTAAAGTGATATAGTTCATATAAAAGTAATTACAACTTTTAATTTTTTAATAACTTCCTCATTTGTATTACCAAAAAGCATACTTAAGTATAAAAAGAGAGCTTACCATGGGTTTGTGTCATCAGTAATTCTCAAAGATTATTTTAAGATTTTCATGTCTCAAGGTTAGGTGTTTTGTTTTGTTTTTTTTTAATTACAAAGTGTCTTTGAAGTTCAGTAAGAAATCTGATCATAATCATTTATTTTCTTTGGCTTAGTGATGACTGCAGTCATCAATATATTGATTAGGAGGTGTTTTGGGTAGGTTTAATACATACTGCAACTCATGATAGAAAAGGGAGAGTACAAGTAAGAAGGGGTGAGGAAATTAGTTTAGTGGGTTTCTTAAATTATTTTTAACAACAATTTAAAAAAAAAAAAAAAGCCAGGGGTATAAGGAAACCAAAATGAGATTACTTACAGTAGCCAGAGATAAGAGAACTTGCTTGCTTAGCTTTGTTGCAGAAGTGAGTTTGCATTTTGGATCAGATGGATCAGTTGGATCAGAATAGGGCGGCTTCTCCATTATCCTGTTCCTAACAGTGACTGTTTACCAAGTGCTTCTAAAGGAGGTCTGAAAGATCTCATAGGAAGGAGAGTTACAAAATAAATTCTGTCTCATGAGAGCCTAGTTTCTGCTATAAAATGTGGAGGTATTTACCTTGCCATTTAATTGTTAGAAATATGAAATTGGATTTCATCTTACCTGCAGAAGTTTTTGTTTTTAACTCTAAGCTCTTAATTTCAATGCTATTTTGTATCAGTAAGTATCACAGGCCAGTGATAGTTTTCAAGACAAAAAAAAAAAAAGAGAAATACGAGCACTGCCAAATACAGATTTTTCACAAAGTAGAGAAACTTTTTTTCTTTTCCTCGTCATCCTTCTATTTCATCAATAAGGAAGGAGACTGGGTTAGATATTTAAGTATATTGTGTTCAAGTTGGACTTGATTAGGAATTTTCTAAAGTAATATAAATATTTGAGATTTTCTAATGTAATACCAATAAGATGCGTTTCCTTACAAAAACTTTGTCATCTTTGCCTGATGTCATCTTTGCCTGACATGTTAAAGAAATCTGAAATACAGTGTTTAGGTCTGACATAAAATAGAGAGGATTGATTTGAGTAACAACATTCTTTTCTTACAGAAAGCATTTAGAACTGGCACTAGTACGCGCTTGGATGATCGTGTATATGCAATGTGCCAGATGAAGAGTCAGCCTCTTGTTTATCTGATGAAAATGATACATCCCAACTTGTACAGGATAGACAAGTTGATAGATGAGGTGATGTATGAAGCCTTTTTAATAACTTTGTTAGTTTTTAGTGGGGTGTTTGAAACTAATGTTGTACTGTAGCAATTTATGTAAAAGTTATTATTGAACTTAGTGGGTGTTTTCCATAAATCAAGAAAATCATTAATTCTCAATTCTTGAGTTACATATATACTACTACATATATATAGTAGTATAATAAGAGAAAACAATACTTTTCTTCACCATGTTTCAATGACTATTTTTCATATTTTTTTTTTATTATATAAAGAAAGTAGAGAAAACTGTATGCATTAGATGCATAACCAGTATTTTTTGTGCTTTAGAACAGTCTGGGAGAAATGGATGAAATAGGTTTGGTAGGGAATTCCAGGTTTTATGTTCTAAAACCGGATGAAGTTGTCTGAAATAATGAACTTTGATCTCTTACTGGTGTGGATGAAATAAGATCGTACTTCCAGGCCGTCATGATCAGACGGAGGAAGAACTTGATATACAAAAATCATTGTTGTTAACTTTTCCCTTCAGCGGGGAGGTAACCTAGAAGATGGATGTATTTTTAATAGTAACAAGATGAAATTTCATTTAGGGTCAAAGTTGGTTTTCACTGCAAAAATAAGTTGTGTTTTTAAGTCATCATTAGTCTGTTAGTCATACATATTTACAGCCCTAACAATAGCTTTGAAGAAGTGTGTCTAGAAACTTGTTTTTAAGTGTTATACAAAATTGCGTAGTAATTTGAGTAGTTCATCTGGCAATTGGCATTGTTCAGCACAACTCTAAGCTATTTGTAGTTTCAAAGTTTCTTTTATAGTATTTCATAATTTATATATGCAAATCTAAAATCACTGCACTTCAGTGGAATTCGTTAATCAATCTTTCTATACTTTTATTTTTTCCTCACTGTTTGAGAATTTAACTTCTTCAGTAACTCTTAAGTTTTTGTGGTATTGGTATGGAAAAACTGTATTCAGTGCGTGAGAGCTGTGAAGAATGAGCACTCTCTCGGGGATATCCAGTTTTATTACCAAAGGTTGTCAGGCCAATTTTCTTACGGAATTCAGAAAATGAGGCTTATTTTGACCTACTGAAATGAACTTACAACTCTCATCTTAAATTGTATGACAAAGTGTTAACACTGGATACTTGTGAAAATTGAATGTAGCCTGGAATTTTTCCAAGTGGACAAGTAGATGACTTTCATCATTATGCATAGGTCCCAATAAACTTCTAATTTATTGCGTTATAATATGGAATTTGTAACTTAGTGGGTTGGGGTTGTGTGTGTGTATAATCTCATAATTCAATTTGAGTGAAGACGTAGTTGGTCTCTTTACCTGTTTTTTCCTTATATCATATTTCACAGATTCGTAATGGATATTCAGCCTATTTTTATGTTGAAGGGGGAAGCAGCCTTGTCACAATCTGCTTTAATCCGAAATAATACAAATTTTATTTATTTATTTTTTATTATCTCGCTGGTCTAGACATTGTTTGTTTAGATCAAGCTTAATGCTATGGACAAACGCACATATTAGTTTGAGAGTATTTTTAGCTACCTGTTCTGCTTCAGGCAGGATGTTACATCGTGGAGCTTTTGTTGTTAGCATGTGGTAAAATAGTAAACTCTTATTGGGAGTAGAATTTGACATTTTTCTACTCTCACAGCGTTTCTAGTGAAATGGAAAGCAGTGACAAACATGCTAAGGTTGGTATGGCTGATCGTAGAAAGTTTTCCTTAAGTATAGGACATCAGACTTCTGGGAAGAGGTTAGTGTCTGTTAGATGAGAAACGCATGCACAGGTTAAATGAACTTGCATTATTCTCGTTTAGGTAATGAAGGAGGCTTTAAGTTAAATACATTCTAGAACTGATTAGTTTAGGTGATCATTTGAAGCTAAAGATGGCATTTTGTTATGTGAGAATCCACAAGCTGTCAGTATAAGCTTTTTTTCCCAGTTTAATCGTACCTGGTTAAGATAAAATTACTGAATTGTGATTTGTTTATGTTATGAGAATTATTGCTTATTACAGAGTGCAATACATGTAAACGACAAGGTTGTTCCTCAGCCACCTCTTCAGAAGTTATCTGCAGAGAAGCTGACAAGAGAAGGAGCTTTTCTTATGGATTGTGGTTCGGTAAGTTACTGGTTTCGTGTGTTCCTCTTGCAAAATAAGTGTGACGCATGCTGAATGCTTAAAAGCAGCCAACTCTCAACATTAATAGTGTAGTGAATCAGTATTCCTGATAACCTAGGAGTAATTCATGTTCCAGTGAAAAGCTTTCATATTTTGATCAGAGGAATGTCTGTAATTGAGGTTGCATATTAAGCCTTCAGAGGTTCATTTTTCTTGTTAGACTTATCAGAATATATGAAGAGTTCATGTCAAGATTTTTTTTCTGGAAATAATGAATTTCCTTCTCCAAAACTTTTTTGAATGGTTATGAAATTGTAAGTGCTAGAGTTTGTCTAGCAAAACACTTCTCATTTATTTGTGCATAACTGAAAAGATTCACACACATAAATACTTTTATGATTGTGGCTCATGTGAACTAAGAGTTGCAAGAATGAGGGAATTGTGGGGGAGAGAAGAAAATCTGTGATACAACTGAAGGAGATAGTAGAAAATACTCTAAAACACACTTAACAGAATAAAACATTATGCTACTCTAATGGCAGTCTAGAAAGAAAGTGCTTGAAAGCTCGTATGAGTTCAGGGCCTGAGCATGAGTGTCAGACTAGTTTCTGTCTCCAGATGTCTGAAATAATGGCTTTAATGTGTATTGATAATTGTTCCTTTCCTCTAACTTGTTTAGAGTGGGACGTCTGTGTGCAGTAGCTGACACAGTGGTGTGACTTTATAAAAGTTTATGGTTTCTATTTTAGGAGGTAACATGGGAAGTCACTGTGTTAACTGTTCCAGTATAGATGAGTCCTGGATCCTTATTCTTTCAGTATTTGCATTTCCGCTGTAACTTTTTGGATTGATCTTACTCTAGATGGTGCCAATGTATTAATAAGTCAAATGTGCAAATAATTTGCATTAATAAGTGCAAATAGTGAATATAGAGATGTATATGTAAATTGCAACTGGAGCTATCAGGTGATTCATTTGGATAAAAGGTGTATTTTTGTAGTATTCCAATTACATCGCTACTTGTCTCTTTCTTGAAAATGTGTGCAAGGCCTTTACTAAAACTGATTCTGACTTCTTACAGATATTTTATATTTGGGTTGGAAAAAACTGTGATAACTTCATAAAAGACGTTCTTGGATACCCAAACTATGCATCAGTACCACAGAAGATGGTGAGTGTTTTAATGAGCTGTGCTTTATCGTGCTTACATTTGGAATCTATATTTAATCCATATTTTTCTGCATTTTCAGTTTTCAATTATGTAACTGTGAGTTAAGTATATCTTATTATGTACCTACTAATTTCATGCCAGTCCCATAGTCCCTAGATAGTTGTCAGACATCTTTAAGAAAAGAGTGTAAATATCCCTTGAATGCCAAAAAATATTTAAGCATATAACTGCTTTTATTAATCCTTTTAGGAAATGCTTTTGGGCTCATGAGAATAGGATGACATTTCCAATAGGATGACATTTCCTAGCTAATTTTTGGATTCATTCTCTTAACTTTAATCTTAACTAAAACACTTATGTTATTGATGTGATGGTTTTCAGAAGCTTTAGGTTCTCTGAAGTTGGTTTAAGATACCAGATCTATGGTATGAGGGGATAGGTCTGTAGTTAAAGGATGGCAGTTAAGTTTTTCTTAGATTCCAAGCCTGAGTCAGTGTTCAAAAGAGAAACTCTTTCAGCTATTAGAATTTTGGAGCCCTTCAGTGTGTGCTTCGGTGGAGGATTTTTTTATGTTGTAACCTTATCTATAATCTTCTGTGTAAAATGGAGCAGTAATTCAAGAAGACTTCCTCTTCTGTGGAAGCCGATTCCAAAATATTAACAAGTGGCAGATGAGGAGAGACCCTGTTAAGATACTCTGCAAAAGTTCTGAATTGAATGATTATATTCAGATAGTACCAAAAATGTGTTAGGCATTGTGGAAATACATAGGACGCTATCTCCTGCTCATAACACTTGCATAGCGTGAAGGGGAAAAATAAATGAAAAGTGGCGATTGTGAAAACAGGTAAGAGCGTGTGGTGAGCATTAAGACTGCTATAAAGTTGGGCTGCACCATTTGCTTGCATTAGCAATTTAAAACTGTCCCCTCTGATCTAATACTGGTAGTATTAGATGACAGTTTCTTATCACTGTAAGCAGAGGGTGAATTTGGATAAAGAAAGGATGGTAGCTTTTTAATGGTTCTATAGTGTTTATTATAATGAAAAGAAGGGAAAAAACCTCTTAACATAGATGTAAGTTGTCATCTTTGCTTTTAAATTATAATTCCTCCATTCATTTACTACAAAGGCAGCAACAGAACTAGTTTTAAGTCTATAGTCAGATTTTTTTATTTCATGTTAATTGTCTTAAAGGTTTCTGTAAGTCTAAGAGTCGGTATACATAGGTCAGCGAGTGACTAAAGCAAACTTAATTTTTTGTTCCTGTTCATTCCCTAACCCAAATAGTCAATCAATCCTTGTGTTGAACTTCACTTTTGATTCGGATCTTGCTTTTTAGTGTTTTGTTCGTCTTTTCAGTGCTGCAAAAGGCAACATAAAGGAACCTGGTGCATAGGGAAGGAGAAAGGCAGGAAAACTGTGAAAGCAGCGCTTTGAAATGATAACTTTAAAATCAGTCTGCTTTCTAAAATGTGTTGCACTTAAAAGGCATTTTCTGAGTTAAGGGTGTACTACTTCCTACAGAACAGATATTACAGAATTTTGGTATTTTAAGCTGAAGAGAAAATAATAAATGGTAGGTAATTTTTAAAACAGAAATTGGGACTGTTTTGTCTTTAGGTCATGTCATGACTATCAGGATCTGTTTTTTTCTAAATAATTTATTTAATAATTATTCAATTATCTTCAACCAGACACAGCTTCCTGAGGTAGATGCGCTTTCTTCAGAAAGGACACGGTCTTTTATATCCTGGCTTAGAGACAGTAGACCTTTAAGTCCAGTTCTTCAAGTAATAAAGTAAGTATTGATGTGAGATACTAGTAATTATTGGGAAACTGAGTTTATAGTTTCCAATAGACATCGATGAAAAGTGGGGGTATCTGTCCCAGAAGAAACTGAATACCATCCCCTCTCCAACTGATACGTGCTGTTATCTGAAGCTTCTTAGCAACAGTGGTTATTTTTTTATATAAAAAAATCAGCTAGATTAAAATAATTCAGGTAAGTTTAGTGACTTGTAGATGGTGTGATAATTGAGTATAATTGTTGTTGAGCCTCATAGGACAACAGGTGATTTATGACATAAATATAGTGTGGTTTTTGAAGTGTTTTCAAGCCCTGACCTGGTTAAAGAACTTTAAATCCTGCAAAATGTTTATACTTAAATGTTCTTTTTGTTTTTCGTTCTCTAGAGTACTCAGTTTACTGAATCTGATGGAGATCACGGTTCTAGATGACATAGCTAGAGAGTACGGTGACTACTTCTGACTTAGATAAAGAATAAGTTTAAACATAGGACTGAAGTTGTTCTCTAGCTGTTGGCGTTGTGGCTGCTGCTTGACTTGCAAGTAGTGCTGAGAGATCATAGTAAATAGCAGGGCTTCACTGGCCATTGTACTAAACCAGTGTAGAAGAGAGTGTGTGCCCCAACAGGTTTTTGCTGGGGCAGGAATTTTTGGATGCTAGGTCTTTGACGTGTCATTATTCTTCCTGTGTTCTCTTCTCAAATAAGAAAAAAATGAGATTGTATATAACCAGAGAGGCAAATTTTCTGTTTTTTCTTAATCTCTATCAGGTTTTAAATTTAACTTGTTCAGATTTCGTTACTGTCAGCGTAATCACTAACTTCCAGAACAAAATAGTTTTTATATTTCCATTTTTGTATTTCTGCAAGATACTTTAAATGATACTTCACCCACTTTTTATACTATGCTATACTTAAAAAGGCACTGTTGTTTGACAGTCTAGTAAAGGTGTTTTTTAACTGTGGATTATTTGCATTGTTATCTTTGAGCTGAATCCAGACTTCAAAGCACGATAAGCAGTTCATTAGAGCTTCTGCCTCTACTTGAATTTACAGTGGATTTTGTTCAATGTTTGGCTGAAATACCTTCCTCTCTTCTTTCAGAGATGAGAATCCTGCCAAAACAGATTTTTTTCAGCATTTAATTGAAGATCGGACAGAAGCAGCTTTCTCTTATTTTGAATTCTTACTGCATGTTCAACAGCAGATTTGTAAGTGAAGGAGGAATAAACCAGAAGAAAAATTCTGACCTCAGATAGAAGCATTGGCTGAGAGAGAAGCACGTTGGAAGTTACAAAAGTGGGTGTTTGTTCTTCACAATATATAGTGACCAACACTGTTGCAGAAGCTTTACAGCTAATGGAAAAGCATACATTTCCAGTGGAATTTTGCAGATTTGCTTCAGTCTAAAAGTGATAGGAGTGAGGAAGCTGTTTCACTAGTAAACTTTAAATTGGTTTATACACGTTTCCAGTAGTGCAGCGGTATGGTGCTCTGTTTATTGCAAGCTGGTGAATTTATGTAGCTATGTGGGATGATATTTCTTAATGAAATGTACAATTAGATAAAGCCTTTTTTCTTACATTTATTATGGTAGCCCTTCCATGTTCGAACTCCGTCAGAGATGTCAAAGGGCAGTGCTGTATGTTGATTTATATGAATTTCTTTTTAAAAGAAATGATTCATATTTACTAAAGACTTCAACAAATTCCCTGTGAAAGTTGTAGAGTTTCAGTAAAGTACATGAACTGTAGAAATAAAATCTATAATGTACATAAGTGTTACATTTGTAAAGAAAATGTAAAAATGTAACTAAAAAAAGACATAGCTCAATGTGCAGAATTGTTGAGTGCAAAACGATGAATTGTTTTGTCCCAAGTTAGATAATGAAGTTGACTATTAAAAAATACTAAAAAGTAAGAATCCCTGCAGAAATAACACAGCTTCTTGTTCTGTTAATTTTTAGGTGAATTTATTTAAGATTGGCTTACTAATTAAAAATATTTTGCTTTATCATGTGTTTTTATATTTATGCAAGTACAATGTTTTAGTTTTTATGATTGAACTCCTACTGAACTGAACACTGAAGAGAACATGTTTACCACTTTATTTCACAGACCTCTGGAAGGGAGGAGAAAACATTTCATAACATGAACTATTGAAATAATAGTTAAGTTCCTAAAACCCTTCTTATGTATTTTCATAAAGAAGACATATCTGTTAACCTTGTTTTACATTTTGTAATGTACTATAGTCTTGGTCCCACTTTCTGTAACTTGTTTGGCATTTAGAGTAAGCATGGGTAATCACTGAATTGGACATGTGATTTTAAAAAAAAAATGTTCTGCTGTGGTTTTAAAAAAAAAAAAAAAAGGTATAAAAGTGAATTACCTTGCAACAATGAAGGGAAACGCTGTAAAATCTCAAATTTCAAGATGTAATCACACCACTGTGTCTTTCCAAAAGCTTGTTCTTGCTAGTGGTTTTTTGCAACTTAGTGGTTTGGGTTTTTGAATAGATTTATCCCAGATTTTTAAATTTAGTTGTTAAGGAGAAGTTGGGGTGGTTTTTTTTTTTTTTTTTTCTTTAGAGGCCTGTTTGAAATAATTCAAAAGCATAGTCAGTCATTCGTCATATTCTGAACTTTGTCATTTGTTTAGTTTAATCAAGTGTGGCTATAATGAAATAATTACCAAAAAGTAAATGGTAATTAGTATTATTACATTTTATTTTAAAGCAGTCTTTTAAGATATTAATATGTAAAAGTTGGATTTTAACTGCCATATCCCCTGAAAATGGTACTTAAATAATCAAGAGAAAATATACTGCTGTGGTTTGCAAGTGTTCTAAAAGCTGCACTAATTTAATTGTGAAATCAGTGTTACTCTGCATGTTAGCACCAAATCACTGTTTGGGGAAAATACCTTATAATTTAAATTTGTCTTGTCCTTAACTAAGTGTTTTTAAGTTACCCAAAGATTAATTTGGAAAAATTTCCATTTAGTAATTTAATTTATCATGTAATAAATACCCATGGAGATGCTAGATGCTGAATGTCCCAATATCAGACCAACAGGATTGTAACTCTGTTACTCCTCTTAGGTGACTTCACATATGAGTGAAAGCTAGGTGCTACTGAAGAGTCAAGAATCTTAGAAATGATTTGGAATTGCAAAGATCAGAAGTGTGTGTTCTTTTTTTTTTAATTTTAAAGCTTCAGGTTGCACGCTTCTGACTTCTGAGCTTGGTGTGGAATAACTAGGAACATGCTATGCCATGATTAATGACAATGTATTCTGTACAAAGCTTTACTTAAAGTTTTATTCTTCTGTAGTTTTTATATATGAAAATTATGAAAAGCACATCTGAGATCTATTTGTTTAGTAAAAGCAATACACAGTGTAGAGAATTTAGTTACCTTTTTACTAGTTATAAAGCACATTTCCTTTCTGACTAAACTTTGTTTTAAATATTAAAAAGATAATCTCCTGTAGAAGTATTTTGAAGTTGCAATTTAGGATTGAGAATATCTATTAATTTTAGAGATTTGAATAGCAGAATACCTGTAGGCATGGCAAGAGTATCCAAAAGAAGATTTTTACCTGTGATGGTTTGGATCAAAGTCCTGTACCAGAAGACGCATGCCAAAAGCTGAATCCGTATCAAAGGATGGGCAGTGAAACTTAGTAAGTTTCTACCTGCTGAGTAACTTTTAGGGGAATAGGTAAGGGTCCAGCTTTCACATCCTTTCTTAAAGGAACTGCTGAACTGTGGAAATAAGTTCTTTACCTATTTTAGGGATTGAAATTTTCCCAGGGTGCTTTCGACTCTGCATATTGTGAGTCATGTTTATTTCTGAGAAGTTCAAGATTTGCTGGGGAAAATAGTTAACTGGGGCTGGTGAACAAGTCTTTTGGAGATCAGCCTGAATTCTCGGCATTTTTACTGACTCTTGGCATCCCTTTCCATTTCCTAGTTTGAAAAGCAATGTCTTGGGTCTCTTTATCAGTGGAGTAATGTGTGAGTTCCAGTTTGAGAAATGATAGTCGGAGAAGCGCTTACAATGGTAAGAGACATGATGTAGCTCTCAATTATTTTTAAACCCAATTTCTGTATTACATTCTAAGGCTTACTGGAGTTAAGCTATATTCATCAATCTTGACATAGAGCTTCTGAGTTCAGGTAGGATGGAGCCTTGCAAATGCTTAGTGGTCAGGTTTAGTAATAGTGATTCAAACCAGATGAAGGTTTGGAAACATAAAGCATTTATTCACTCTTAGCTCTCTCTCGCTCATGTACCGGATTCTCATCTCTTTACCAGATTCTTTAATTCTGAAGTAGATTAGATGTCTCTGTAAATAAATAGCACAGACTGTTAATTCACATTCAACAAAGTCCCTTTTAAAAATGGGTAGTTGGGTATGGCAGGAATTGGAAACATGCGGCATAGGTACCAGACACCCCAAGGTGAATAGCGTGAAGCAGGACAGGAGCTGAGAGTGGATTTAAACTTTAGCTAGTTTTATATTGAAATCTATTCTTAGTCTTGAGAAGAGGTAGCAGACAGCCGCTTTCAGAGGCATCATCTTGCTGCTGCTGAATTTCTAACAACAGACTTAACTGTATTTTTTTTATTCCCCGTTCAAAAGTTGTGCAGCCACACAATAGGTTGTTGATCCCTAGCAGAGATTTTGAGCATAAATGAGGTAGAGTACAATCACTGCTTCAGAATCGCAAAGGTTACGTTCCAGCTAGAAGATTGTAGTAGTGAAAAGCCTATTGGAGCCTAGATAATCTTGAGATTTAGCATAATACTTTTTTTGGTACAGTTGCACAGAAATTTAAATATTCTAGGAGAAAAATACAACTGCAATGACTTACTGATATCTTTCTTTACCTATCTCTCAGTCCCTAAAATTAAAAAGAGCAGATGTCTAGCAGCCTTGCTTGCATTTAGTTACATTGATACTGTGGCGTCATATTCAAATGCAGGAATTTGGCAAGTGTGATTATGACTATAGCAAGTTACTGAAATTTGCAGGCTGTCTCTTGAGCATATTTTGTATTTCCTTGTGAGCTACTGATGATTCTTTTTCATGCCAAACCCAAAAGAATCCTATGGGGTTGAATGTAGCAAGTGAATTATCACATGATTAGGATTAGTTAAAAGGGATTATTACAAGAACAATGAAAATTAAAATAACCACGTTATAGGTGATTTTTTCAATTTATCCTTCAATCTTGAGTTCTTACTGATTTCCACTTGCAGGGCCTTTGCTGTCTTTTTCCTTTATAGTTTTGATAACTAGTAAACATGAAATACTTCCTCCCCCTTCCTTCCCCCCAATGTTTTCCTTGAGGTCCTTAGCAAAAATTATACCTTTTCTAGAAGGTGCCTAATTAGGAGCATCAAATATGCACAAGGTTTGAGTAGTTGGACACTCCTACAGAAAATGAGGAGATGAGAGAACTTATCAATATTTCAGAACATGTAAAAACTTCCCCTTTTCCACACAGATTTTTACTGTGTTCTTCTTGCAACTGTTTACCTTTCTAAACTTCTGTTGTATATTTGCTCATAAGTTCACATGTTTGGTTTGTAACATTGGGTATTTGATTTTCAGATGTTGAGGGTACATCTACAGGGACATTAGCAAATACAGATCTCATCTTACACCCTTAATCATGTTACCATTAAAAGAAAAATGACAGTTTAAAGAAGGATGAGAGTGTTTCCAATTGGACAGGAGTGGATTCTTTCTCTTTGCTACTGTTTGGCTAGCAAGTAATATTTATTTATCTTTAGCTATTTGCAACATGGGTATGAAGTCTCCCTTTGTGAGGCTTTGAGATTCTTGAGTGAAGCTTCTCGACTAGGAGGAAGAGTCAGCAATGATTAATCATTTCAGTAATAGGCTAGCCTTAGAAAATATCCTTTGCACAAACTACTTGAAAAGATGTTAAAATCCTGTGTTAATGTTAAAACATCAGTGGGGGAAAAAAATCACATTTAGGAAAATACTAACTTTTGTTTAAATACTACTTTAGATATGATGCTTGCCAAGAAGAAAACATTATTTCAAAAAATTCTGCAGGCTGTACATCCCAACTTTTATGAATAAAAAGTGTTATTAAGAATTACCTGACCAGGCAGAGAAAAAAGCAGAATAAAACATGTATTAATCATCTGTAGTTGAGGAATTCTCTTTCTATTCTCTTTCTACTCTTGTTGCTGTGGCAACTGAATACACTGACTTGATAATCTAAAGTAAAGCTTACAAGAAGCCAGGCATAACACTGGTATGCATTCTGGATGTCCAACAGGGCTGCTAAGTGTAGGCATAGCTGTTGACCGCCTGCCCAGATGTTTGAGTTCTAAGCATTTGTTGTGCTGTAGCTGTATTTCTAAGTGCCTTGTGTGCTTACTCAAAAAAAAAAAAAAAAAAAGTGTAATTTGAGTTTCCAAACTCCCCCCCTTCCCCAAATCCAAACTATTGCTTCTAATTACCAAGAATACTTTCTTCACAACAAAAGCCTAATTTGTTCTTAGAGAACAAGTATGCACAATTTCAACCTCCAGAACATGTATTTTGAAAGTTTAAGGTCCTGGAAAAAGAAAGAGAAGTGCCTCTTTGGGCATGATTGTGGCATCTAATGATGTGGATGAATTGGTTTGGCATGAGGAACAGAAAGCTGTTGAGAACAGCAGTTCTCAAGAGACCCTTCAACTGGTTCATCACTGTCAAACTGCAGCTAGATCACCGAAGGGTAGTGCTGATCCACCTGCTCAGACTTCTTGTCTCTAGAAGTGACTGATATCAGATGGTTCAAGGCCAAATGCAAGAAGACTGTAGTGTGCAGGATAACCCACTCTGATTTTCTTGTCTTGCATGTGTAGAGATCAGCTTAAACCTTAACACATGAAACTTCTTAGCCTTGTCAGTGTTTTTGCTAATGAGACTAACAGAATATTGTTGACCTTGAGTTGAATCACTTCTTGTAGTTAGATTGTGAAACATTACATGTGGGAAAAAAAATGATGATATTTCTTATTTCTGAAAGCTATGGAATGTTCTGTAGCTTATTGCAGCGTGAGCTGGGGAGAACAGAAGGGACTAAACTGATCTTGTACCTTTTTTTTTTTTTTATAGACTCTTAATTTGTTTTGTAAGGCAAAAGTGTTTTCAGGGCTTTTCAATCCCTTCAGTTTATCTGTAAGCTAAAACTTTCGATCATTCTCATTGTTCTTGATACTGCCTCCCCCAGGACAGTGCTTGACATAGGGCAGCTGGTACTATACGATGCATTGCAAATACATACATAAAGGTGGGATATCACCAGCCTTTTCTGTATTCTACTCTTCATCCTCATTTCTTGTTACAGTGAACTTTATCTATGATAATACCCAGGTCTCTGAATAAGTTATGTTACACAAAAATAAGTTTTGTTCTGTCACAGTCTGGAGAAGATTTTAAAAAACAAAATCCTTCAATTATCTTCCCTCCTCAGTGGCAAATTCTTAGGTAGCAGGAACAATCTTTTGGCTCCTTAAACCATTACTTTGGTAAGAGGGCAGGACTTCCCCTAAGAAATGACATCTTGCAGAAACTGTGCACGCTGTAGAAAAAAACTTAGGACTTACCAAATAACAGTTAGGACTCTTAGGAATATCATTCAACTTTAACTTGTGAATGAATCAAATGTAAATGAATCAAGTTGGTCTTAGAAGCCAGACTTTTCTCCAACAAGTGCCCGTGCTCCTGGCAGTACTTCAGCCTTAGCCTAAAGCAATAGCAGAGCAGACAATGTATTATCACCTCAAAGAAAGAGAAAGGTATTGGCACCAATAAACAACGTCAACCCAAAAACTAACGTTGGCACAACACACTTGCACGAACATGTAGTTTGCAGAACAGGTGAATGGAGTATAATAGCTCCTGAATGAGCTTGGTTGGAGTGAGTGCTCTGTCCCTCTGAATGTTTTTATAAAACAGGATGTCAGTGATATTTAGAATAAAAATGATTCCAGCTGCTAGCATTTGTGTTCGGCTCTGGTGGTAATTTGTAGTAGCTAATGTGAATTTTGAACTCTTCTTGGGGGAGGGGGGAACTAATGCGTCGGGATGTGCATGGTTTAAACTGTCAGAATTATATTTCTCTTTATTTGAGTCCTTATTACTATTTACAGGTTTTGGACAGTAAAATGTTTCTCCATGTAAACTCCTCTCTTTAACCTTGAGTTCACAGTCTCACCTGTGTAGCTGAGAGAACAATGTCAACTTGAGCCTACATCTTATTAACTTCCACCTACTGCCCCTAGGTACTTACCCAGGGGTTTCACCAAGGAGCCCCCATGGACAAGGATTGTGCTGTGCTGAGTTCAGCACAATCACTGATTCTGGGCCCAAACTGATTACATTAAATCTGTGTCTTCTCACTTACACTTTAAGGCATGAGTCACTCAGAGGTCCAGTATCATAAGACTACTTGAATGAGGAAAAAGCATAAAGGATTTTCTAAGCTGTGTTTTTAGTACTGCAGATTCAAAGCTAAAGACTTGAGCTCCATCTCTGTGGCAGACTGGTGCAGAACAAGCCAGAGTCTGAAACAACTGAAACTGCTTCATAGTGGCAATGTATCAAGGGAAGAGGGCACAGCTGAACCTTTCCATTGCGCCACCACTCTGCAATGATTGATTGTCCTACCTTGGGCTGGAGCTGGGCCTAGAGTAGCTCCAGAGTTAGGGAGCCATAAGTGGGAGTTCTCCACCCATATTTTCTAGTGTGCATTGTGTTGCAGAAGAGAGCCTGTCTCTGGAGATGTGGCTCCATTGCCACTTAGGCTAGTTCCCCTGTGGACTATTGCTAAAGGGGAAGTCCCACCCCAGCCACACATTCCCACCACCTGCCTTGTGCTGGCAGTAACAACCATGTAACTGCTTGTCCTAAGACAGGTATTCACAGTTGGGCAGCCAAATAAACAGCAAAGAATTACAGTATGCCCATGCCATTCACATTTGCATATATGAGCCATTCCTATCAGTTTCAATGCTGTATCCTCCTGCAAGGTCTTGAGTGCTCAGTACCTTGAGGGTTGGGGACTATAACTTTCATTTTATCTCCTAGAAAAGATGTTAGCAGTAGAACCCCGGAGAGTACCAGGACTCTTTTTGGCAGCCTGTGCTCTCACAGGTTTGAAAGGAGCTGGTGGAATATGCTAATGTTGATACCTGCTGCCCAGAAGTCTAGTGGGCCACATATTTATGGAACATTGAAATCATACTAGGAATGTGGAATTAAAAACTGGTATGTTGCCTCCATAACCAGAATAAACTTAATATTGAGCCTCTGATTTTTAGTATCAATGTGCTTGAACAATATTCTTTACTATAGAAACTATTCTAAGTGACTTCCTAATGAATGCCAGCACTTTGGAGTCAATGTAAACTATAGCATTTCCCTCTTGGGCCAGTTCTGTCCTATTCTGAACCTTTTTGGGATACAGGCTGTAAACCATATTCTTTGAGCTGATTTCCTGGCCAGTGCAAGCCATGTTTGTATGTGGAATTCAGACCAGTTCCTGCCCAGTCTGAGCTTTCCTGAAAAACAGCTTGCTGCTCAGTCGGGACAGTTCCTTGTGACTTTTGTGCCTATCAAGTCATCCTCCATGTCTTTCCTGTAAGTATTAAGTTCCTAAATGTGATAATTATTTTTAATAAAAAATGTGATAAATATTTTTAAGAATTTATGCCTTACAGTGCATCAACAGTAAATAGACAAGAAAGAGAAAGCGTACAAGAAAGTCTGAGCAAACAAAGAGACAAAGTAAAAAGCCTCAGAAGATGGAGGAAGAGAAGATGACTCTGAATGGTATGGCCTCCCTATAATCATGACACAGGTCTCTGCCTTAATGCCCCAGTGCAATTTAGACAGTCTGGCAACTCTGTAATATGAGTGTAATTTACGATCCTCCCTCCTTCCACCCACACTAAGTAACATGGAGCACTTTCCATTCCTTGAGTAAGGGTTTATAATCAGGGTCCTGGTCTTTTCCCATGTGGTGAGCCTTCCAAGCAGTCTAGTTAACAGGAAATTTTACTAGCACAATCCACCACTCCACAGAAAAGACAGAGCTTTTGTCTATGTCCTATATAAGTTGGTGATAAGTGTCATCTCATTCTTCCTTTACTAGAACAGGAGGATTAGCATGTTAGTGCTGGCAGAGCTACATTTTGCTATCAGCTCTTCTGTATTTTGAAGAGAGATTTTTTTTGCCCTGCATACCGTGGGAGGGAACATAATTCTCTTTAGTGTAAAAGTTAGCCTTTATTTACTTTGTATAGCCACAGTATTGTCACCATGTACAGAAGGAGCAAAAGAACCTTCTGTTGTGTCCTCTCCTCTGAAAACCTAAGTGTTTCGATCTCATCCTTGTTACCTTTGGGAAGAGTTGGGTTGTTCAGTAATGGCTTGGGCAAGCAATAGGACTTTCCTGAAATCAAAGTTAAATCTCTATTTTATGATTGGTTAGCATTCCAGCTAGCCTGACAGTCCAGTACCAGTGGTATGTGACAAGTCTTCCTCTTACAGGATGCAAGAGCTACGCGTTGGTACCTAGAATTCGTGAGCTTTCTGGTCACCAAGGTTCAGGTTAGTGCCCTTTCATCCTTTCAGTTCTGTTACTTTAACCAGTGGTTCAGATAGTACCCCTGTAAGAAGAGCACAAGACTTTTTGTCACTTGTGTTAGCATTCCTATTCACTCCAAAACAAAACTTTGTGTTGAGAATTTTGCCTTTTCCTGTTGGTTTCCGACATACTTGGTAGTCATGCAAGCAAGGCTCAAGCTCATATTTGCTGCTGGAGAGGAGAGATTTAGCAACAGCTGCTAGTCACCAGATCTGAGGTAAATCTCTGGGGAGAGGCATGGTTTTTTGGAAGGTGTATTACCTAATTTTATTCTGTTCTCAAGCATTCCATTCCACTGTATTTTCTGTTTTGAACTGTGGTATGTAGTAAGTTATAAATAAAAACCTCTAGCTATTGGTTTTCAAGTAAAATACATGGGAGAGTTTTGTTCCAGGGGGATGTTAGAAGAGGAAGGAGATCTTACTGAAGGAGGATGGCATAGACCTACCTCAGGGGGAGAGCTTCAAGCTATCTGCAAGCTTGGTAGATAATAGTGCCTCCTCAGTTTGGTATTCCTGTGCAGGCGGGGCCTTTGAGTTCTGTCAGCAGTTTTTTTCTGCTCTTTCTCCGTTACCCTTCAACTCTTGAAAGATACCTCTGAACAAAAAAGGAAGCATTACAAGAATTGTGACCAGAGAAATGAGACAGAGGATAAGGAAAGGGACTCTGGGCTTCCCTGTAATCAAGACTGCAGTTACATCCAACCTTTTTCTGATACAGCTAACCTGATTTGTTCCCTTGAGTGATGGGAACACCATCCTATAATTTGGTTCTGATAGCTTTTGTCATCAAACTGCTGTAACTGGCCGATCAAGAGGATCATCATGTAAGTAGGCTGTACGTCTCCCCTTTTGAAGGCATATGGAGTATTTATATGTATACCCCTTGCAGTCACGTTCCTCCCCGTGGTCAGAGCTGAGATCTGAGTTGGGCAGTTTCATGCCCTTCTGGCTCCGATTGGTGGGACAAGCCTGGAGTTAGGGTGTGCTCCTGGAGTCCTTCGCCCAGGGAAAATCTTTATAATTCAGAAGATTTGTGTCCTTTTCTACCTTAGGGTTTTTGATTTTGTACCTTAGGGTTCAATGATTTGAAATGAACGTCCTGTGATTTAGGAGACAGTCCCTTTGCCACTGAAATCCTGTGGCCAGGGTCCCTCTCCTTCCCCTAGTTGCAGACTTTCCTAGAATGCCAATTGGTTTTATCTGAAGTAATTAGTTTCTGTTTAAAAGAAGTCCTCCTGAGACTATGACTTGATTCATAAGTCTACCGATTCTGTAATAATTTGCTTGTTTTCCTAACCATTTTCTTCCTAGAAACTGAAGCCAAATCACATATTTATGATAGAAAGATGTGAACCACGATGCTGCGTACTCATAAAGCACTTTTCTTGAAGAGCTATTTCCTCCTGACAGAGTAAATAGATAACAGAAAGGAAGAGATTGATTTGTTTCTCACAGAAAAAGAAAGCTCATTCAAAGCCAGTTTAAAGTGAGTATACTTAAGCTGTTTATTACCAACTCCAGTGTTAAGTACAAGAAAAAAAACCCAAAGTTTTGGAATGAGCAGGTCATCCCAGAAGCTGTCCCCATTTGAACATCCTTCAGGTGCAGACCTTGTTTTAGCGGTTGCACTCAAGAAACTTTGTCATTCATTCCCTTTTAAAGCCTTTTTTTCCTGGAGTATTTTTACTGGTATCTGTGACTGTAGTGATGTTTCACAGAATTTTTTATATTTAGTGTATTCAATGGGTGTGAACAGATAGATGAATACAGTGACAATTTTATGTGGGCATTTGTCAGGCTTTAATTATCTATGATATTCGTTTAGAAGTGAAGTGTTTAGCTGTTACATTTTTGAGGTATGATATAAGAAAAAAGTTACAGTGAACAGTAAATACTTAGAGGGGAAGGTTGAAGGAAAGACATGATACAAAAGAACAAAGCAGAGGTTACCTTGTGATGCAGTTCGAAAGGTGCGAAAGGTAAATTTAGGGTAGTTTATTCAAAGTGGCCGTGGGATTTTAAACTCTGTTGTGACAAAGATTAAAAAAAAGTTATCTTCATTCTCTTGGCCTGTAGAAAAAAGACACCTGGCTTGATTCCCAGTCTCCTTTAGAGGGTAGCATCTCCACAAGTTGCTGTGAGCTGTAGCGGTTCCCTGCTTGCTGCTGAACTTTTAAAGCAGAGTAAATACAGAAAATAAGTGTAACACTGAACAATCATCAGTATGAAATGATCTTTTTTAGTCCTGATACTGAATTCTTCCCCTTTCAGAGAAAATAATTTGACTAAACCAACACTATGGGGTAGGAATAGAAAAGAAATGAGTTAACATGACCTAGTTACCTCTGCTTGATGAAATCATAAATATTCCATCTTGAATTTATATACTTAACTCTTTAATCCTTTATTTGACTTTCTGCAACTTCTTGGATATTAACGTAATTTACTTAATAAGATACACAAGTGCAGAAATTATCTCAGTTCTTAGTTTGGGTAAATGAAAATTACTCCAGTAGAATTTTGGAGATTTTTGCACTGATAAATATTAATTATGACTATAGAATAGGTTATTGCCTTTTGGGAGTCACTGCCTGTTAAAAGTACAGCTTTTGTTCTTCTCCAGTTCTCTGGGACTATGTACATTTGAACAGTTTGCAGTGACCATGAAATGGAAATGAATGTTTTTGTGGTCTTAGCTGCATAGTTTCCCTTCTAGAGCCTGGAGGATGGACAGACGTGGGGTTTTATTTCATCCCCAGAGCCATCAAGAGTCCAATTAGTTGTCGAGGTTTTCGATCATAGTGATGATACTCTTGCAGCAGCCCCATTTCTCAGCTACCACCCGAGAGCCTCCTGGCAGCGCAGGGTAAAGCTGCTCCTTGGTTTAGGCAGTGTGGCTTAGCAGGATCATTATAAATGGCTGAGAAAACATGGATGAGTGCAGCAGTCTCACGCGCGTTTCCCAAGTGCAATGCTGTGGTGTAGATACGCTGCCGTGGTTCGTACTGAACGCGAAGGCCTGCGTTTGTGGCAGTGGAGACCCGGTGGGACAAGGTGAAGGCGAGTGAGTGACTGTCTGTAACAACGCTAAGCCTTGCAAATTGTCAACAAAACTGTCTTGCAACATGATCGGCATCAAGAGCGTTTTTCTCTTGCGCGTTTCTGTTCATTTCTGTGGTGTCCGAACGCGCTTTTCCCACGGAAACGCAGAGGGTAGTGCTAGTGTGCTGTAACCTGTTCTTCAAAAACTGCCGCTTTGGAAAGCAAATGATCTAATTTTAGATAAAAAGATAAAAGCAGGTGTTCTCCTAAGACAGAACTCAACGTCTTCCTTAATCCTATTTATAAATATAGATATTTAAACCCCCTTCCAAACTGCGAGTAGAAGAAAAACCCGGAACACGAGCTAACAGCGCTTGTACGCACAGTGCCGGGGCTGAGCCCCCTCTCCGCCGCTCCCCCCGCGGCCCCCTGC